CATAAAAGGTTACAATACCAAAAAACTACTAATTTGTTTATCCTCATAACACACACACACACACACACACACAGCTTTTAGCACCACTGACACCCTGACATGATAAAAAGCGAAAAAAGACTGCATTTAGAGAACCGGTCACCAAAAGTATATCCCATACGGGAGCGTACTTTGCACAAAAGCAGGAAAGGGAGACCTCAAGGCTTCCTCTGTTTGTTTGCCATGTGGACTTCCAGAATTGGTGCCAGACCACTAACAGCATGCACGGGTTAGAGTCAAGTGTTGATGGTGCCATAAACAAACACAGAGACAGACGTCACTACGGCAGAGCTTGCATCTGTTAGTCTTGACTCTTTGGATGTTGTGTGTGAGAAGTGAACAAGTTCAACTAAACACAGGTCGTTAGACAGCCTTGTGCAACCACCCTGAAACTCATGAGTTTTACTATAGCTTCTGTCTGGTACCATCACAATAAATCTTATTCTCTGTACTACACACTTAAAAATGATGGTTCTTCGAGGGTTCTTTAGTAAAGAAAATGGTTTTATATAGAACCATGAACACTCAAGGACCCTTTGCATGATTAAAGGGTTCTTTATACTGTGAAAGCATTCTCCAGATTGACGGAGAATGTACTGTGGATGGTTCTATACAGAACCTTTTCAAAAGGGTTCTATATAGCACCAAACATGGTTGTTCTATTGTAACAAACCTGACATCATAACAATAGAAGAACCTTTTTTGGTGCTATATAGAAGCCTTTTCAAAAATGTTCTATATAGAACCATTTACAGTACATTCTCAATCAGTCTAAAAGGCCCTTTCATGATGCAAAGAACCTTTAATCATAGAAAGGGTTCCTTCCATCTTTTTTAAGAGTGTAGGGATGCATGACGACATTGAGTTGAGTGAGTGATGATGCTACTGTGTGATGCATGCAGCAGATGGAACTTAATACGTCGGTGGTGTGGGTTGAAGCAGCAGTACAAAAACTCTGGGCATAATCTGTAACAGCAGTATTTCGTGGAAGGCAATGGTAGTGGGTGATACCAGCTGGAATTCTTCCTAAGGTATTAGTTACACCGGTATGCTACAAATAACATACAACATACAACATACAGACAGCACAAAACACATGATGAGAAGCCCTTTTGTTGAATGGCTTCTTTCAGTAATCACTCATCTCCTGCTGTGTAGTCAGTGACAGTCTGAGTAAATATAAGTTCAGGTTTTTTTCGAGGAATGTCGCTTAGAGAACTGTTGGCCTCTTGGGGTCCCAACAGCTGTTATCCTTGGTTTATCCTTTAGCATAGCTGGCCTGCAGTGCACCTCGGTTGGTCCGCTGCATCAGACAGCGGTGTGGTCTATAATACTGATAGTGTGAATGACTGTATATATTTACTGAACTCCAACAGATTCTGACCCTATGGGATGCAGGTATAAGACGAACGACTTGAGAAATTCGTAATTAAAACAACATTCAGGAGTGTTTTTGCTGAAACTGTGGAGAGCTTACGTGTACAGCCACAAGCTTATCTATATGTTGTTATCTATATTTATAACTATTTTGCACAACAGAAATATTTTACTTTTACTTCAACTGTTAAATGTTTTTTATTACTGATTACAAAATAATAAATATGAATTATCTATAATAAAAAAAACAACAAGTAAATGCCATTCAGTTAAGTGTATGTTTTATTGGTAGGTTTTATTTGTGGCACAGAATATGGCTTTCACTAAAATAAAACAAAAAAATGAGGCAGTATAAATATCAGTACCTACAAGCTGGTTAGGTTAGATATAGTATTGATATTGGCCGATACTTACGCATCAGGTATCTGTATCGGAAGGAAAAGTAGCTAGCTGAATTTTAACTATTTATAGATGTTAGATAATTTCAACGTTTTCAAATATTTATGTACCAGCATCGGTCCACAATTCACTTGTTTGGCATCCCTTCTCTGTATAGCATTTGGTTAGACCAACCAGCATTCTCTGCTGAATTGTAGGACAGTTCTATTGATAATGATTAAATTAGAGAACATAAAAGCAAAAACTGAAAAATACTGCAGCACAGAAGGCAAAGTTTCAGTGCAGCAATTTAGTTGTTTTTCGCACCATCTGATAGCACTAAATAACTGCTCAATGACCATATGCACAACAGACTAGAACAGCATGCAAGCCAGACAGGGGTTGTGTTATTCATGTGTGACGGACAAGCTTGTAAAAACAAAAAATAATCATCGTTGTCTATTTTTACGCATCTTATTTTAATCAGAAATTACAATTAACTGTTCAATAAGATAAAAAAGTTCATAAAACAACCAAGTAACAAAAACTATTTAACCGGAAGAATGCAGCCAACTACACCTGAAAGGAAACGTTCCTGTATTTCACTTCATGCAGCATTTGAAACCAGCTATTTTAGGCAATCAATTATGACACTCGATAAAAAAATGTCAGGTTTCAACTTGCAGCCAATCAATAGCATCCATAAAAATAATGACAGTAAATTGTTTGGTTCATTTCTGCTTGTTGCAAAAAGCGACTAGTGAGAAAAAATTAATATCAAATTACACCCTTTATTTGTTAGCACTGACAATAACCACGACTTCAATCGGAAAAAGACTGCACGTCCTATGGATTCCATTTCTGTGATGACAGCACTGAATGTATTTACGGCTTAAGAATCAGAACCTCTTCAATCACAAAACTGTAAGTGAAAAACTCAACCTGAAGGGAAAGAAGTTCAAATCCTTCATTTTTACAGAGCCATTCATTCTGAAAGCAATTGAATCAGCTAGCTTTCTAAATACTACAGCCATGAAACTCTTCATGAAAAGACTTAAAGTCTTCAAAAATAAATCAAATGTCTGAGATGGGGCTGATTCTTCAATTTATTAAACAAAGTAAGCAGGAACGAACTCAGGGTACTGTAGTTCACTGAATTCCATAGACACTGCAACTTTGACATTCCCTGAAAACCTGGTTTCTGTGAGGGTTCAGAAGTCACACTTCAAGGCACCAGCTGAATGCACCGATCATGTGTAGAAAATGACTTTCGGCTTCAGGGCAGCAGCCACTGATAGAAAACATGTAGGTCAAGCACACAAATCTGATGTTTTCACACTCTGGGTATGGTAACTATAATGTCTGTAACACAAAGTGCATCTAAACTATACTAGATGTTTAGTATGGATCATCTACTGTACACATGATTTCAATATTGTGTCTGCTCAGTCTTGAACTGTTCAAGTGTTGGCTCCATCATTAGAAGTATGCAAGTTTGACTCCTAGCCAAGAGTCCATGCAAGTAGAATTGTCCTTGATCTCCCCGAGTGGATGGGATTGCTCTCCCTTTACCACATCACTGAACAAGATGCAAAGAGCAGCTGGTATTAAACACAACTTACGGTGTCAGTCTGAAATCATGGAGTGAAGATCCAAGTTCAGGATGTCTTTACAAAGACAGATCATGTTGAGTAAACACCATATTCAATGTTGAAAGGTGACATTTTGTCAAAAATACAGTAACAAATTAAAAATTCAGATAACCAATTAAGAAACAACACCTTTAAGCTTTCATTTTTACTTTTATATATCTGTGTTTTGTTTTAATGACTGTTCAAGACATGAAAAAGTGATTTATGTCAACTGGCTAAACTACTTAAAAGTAATAGTCTGCACGCGCACACACACACACACACACCGCTGCTGTTGGAACAAAACCTCGTATCTTTAATATTTAATGTTGAATGGACCAAAAGAAACAGCCCAAAATTACTTGGAAAAGAGTCTTGTTACATTGACTTACATTAAAAGTAAAGTATGCTTTTTCCTTCTCCTGTAAAGTTACGATTTTGGAGATATGAGGTTTTCTTTGACAACAATTTTTTTCAAAGTATGTAACACCAGAAGCTTCTTGGCTGAAGTGTTGTAAGTATTAAAACAAAAGTGTTTAACCTGACATGTCTGTGTCAGAATTTTACTATAAACATATCTGTTCAATATTTTCTTGACAGCACAACTGAGAGTCCATTACGTCTGTGCCTGTTTCTGTATGTCACACAGCAGGGAGTCTAAATTATCCGCATGGAGTGTTGTGACGAGCTTTCACTGTCCTACTTATTGCAGACACTTGCACTGCTGATCCAATTACTGCCGGCATGTCATTATTTTCTCCCTATCACTTTCTCTGCCTTTGCCTGGCCAGGCAGGGAACTAATTGTCAATGAGTGAGCATCACAGCACAACAAGGTAGAATACGAATGAAATGAAGATGAAGATTTTTTTTTTTTTTCAAATACAGCAGTCAGTTCTCTATTGTTAGATTTCTTAAACACAAACAGCAGAAGCTCTCAAAATAGTCAAAAATATTACTAGTGCACACTGTACTGCTATAATTAAGAAACAACTGAGTGCTTTTCTGTTTTGTGTTGCGATATGCAATGATCATCTTTGCCTCACTGAGAGAAATTACAGTAATAAATCTACAGGATCCCTATTTTGGCAGTTATCAATAAATTAGTCATGCCTTTATTTGGAGTTATATAAACTAAGAAATGAATGAACCTTGAGCACTGAAACTTATCTGCAATTATAATCCTAAATAAAACACCAAATGAACACAGATGCGTTGTCTGCCTCACTGAACAGGCTGAAAAAAAAATCAGCACTGTATCTGAAAGTTTTAGCTGAAAAATTCAGCAATGAAATGTTAGCAAAACCAACAATACATAGATTAATGTGGGAATATACACATCTAATACACATACATCAAACCTCTAACTCCTGATGCCATGTCCTTTATTACTGCATTTTTTTACATGGTGATTTAAAAAAGCTTTCTTGGCCTAATTGTTCTTAAGATTGCAGATCAATAGCCACTACTTGAAACATTTTCTAAAGCGGACACAGATCAGCAGGAGGGAATCCCAAAAGAACTTAAACCCTTTAATCATTCATGGTGGAAGGAAATCACAAAAGCATCAATGTACCTTTGAGGGCAGGAAGCTTCTGTAGCTCACGGTTCTTGCTGAGGTTAAAGCGTGAGGAACTCTGCCGACGCTCCTTCTTCACAATCTGTGGGCCGCCAGAGTACTTGATTTTGTTGAGCTGAGTTGGAGGTGGAGTGCTGTTGCTAGGACGTTTGCTGGCTGTCTGTTGCTGCTGTGCCTGAAGAAGAAGAAGAAGAAGAAAGATGCAAAAATAAATATTAAAGATTAGAAATACAACACTAAATACACAGTCTTCTCTAAGATACCTCGATCTTAAATTTTTTGACTTGAAATTACCAACCCAACTACAACACTACTGAAAAGAAACAAGAGTAAAAAAAACAAAAAAACAAAAAAAACCTTTAATTTCAATGGTTCAATTCAGCATCTAGATTGCCAAGCTGATCTTCCACAGTCTGAATCGTCTGAATGACACCACTCTGAACAGCTTGCATTTGCAATAATATTGAGTTTCACAGTTCATTTGTATTCCTTGGGACTCTGGACAATAATGAGATCTTTTGTTCCATTATACAGACACACAGGCTAAAAAGCTGCAATCCGGCCAGAAAGTGCTCCAAAAACAAAAGAGATGAGAGCAGAGCAACAGGCATTCATAATTAATTCATTGTTTTGTTTCTCCTAATATGAATAGGCTTTGATGTTGGTCACATGTGAAGAAACCCATGTTGTTCAATAACAGGAAGAGGAGAATGAGTTACAAAATTAGCCCTGAGACATGTTCTACATAGCAAATATGTCAAAAAAGGTCAAATGTGGTTCTATACCAACAGTTAAATATAAAGCACTTAACTTTTAATGGTAAAGTTAAAAGCTGTGGAACTGATTTTCAAAGGTCTGTCTATGCAATTAAATACACAGACAGACAGACAGACTCTGAATAAATTATAAAGAATAAATAGATTGAATTTTAGCAACATTATCCAGCACTCCCAGGTATAGAGAAGCAAGTAGCCCAAGACCCAACCACAATGTAACCCATCAGGTTATCTCATATCATGACAACAAAAGTAACAACCCTAAATGATTTACTGAAACGCTGACTTGTTGAAAATAAATGAATCCTGCACCAAAGTATGACGTTAAACAGGATGAATAACTATTGAAGATGTAACACTACAATGTATTAAACTGTACTACAGTGTATGTGACTAGTAATGTTAATTTGTGACTAGTGTGTTAGCTTGAGGTTAACACATTTGCTTGCGGCTAGAATGTTAGCTTGGGACAATAAAAAGCAGTTTTTGATAATTACTGTATGTTTATTATGTCTAAAACTGAAAATGGAAACATTAACATAAAACACATTTTTAGCCAACCCTTATTTTTTACCAAAAAGGTATCGAATCAAGGCACCACTGTATCTTACTTAATCAAATTATACATTTTGTCAATCATTACACCCCTAGTAACCAGTGTCCCATAGTGATAGCAGGGTACTTGTTTTTGGGGAAAAATGGCAATTTGGATATTGTTCCACATATCCTATAATTTCCAAGAAATGTGAATTTAAGATCAGATAATACATTGCATGCAAAAGTTTGGGCACCCTGGTCAAATTACATGTTGATTTTCTAAGTGAAAACAGGGGCATATCTTCTACAAACAAGACAATTCTGCACATTTTAATGCACAATTACAATTTATTTGCCAAATTATATTGAAAAAAATAAAAACTGTACAAAGTTTACTGCACGTTTAATATGCTACATTTCATTTTCTTGTTTAACTCAACAATTATAAACAGACTGTTCTCTACAATTTACAGAAAATTGCCATATTAAAGGTTGTTGATTAGTTAATTTATTTCGACTTACAACAAAAATTGTAATTTAATCTGGCTAACAGTTGGGGCCACTGGGTGGAAGGCGTAATGGAATACAGACAGACAATAACTGAATCATGCAGTAGACAGAAAGGTTTCTGGATAGTCTGGATCTCGATCAGTCTGCAATCAGCTCATGAACCTGCTCTGGCGAGGGGCGGCAGAATATTTGAATACACTGATATTTAAACTCAGCACAGAATTTGTTTATTTATTCAGGTACTTGAATAAGAATAAGTGAATGTTAAATCTCCCATAATCTACATTTTATAGATGTGATGCACCTCATGGACTGGGATTACATGAAGGTTTAGATCATGGAAATGACCATCAGGAAAAAAGTGAGGCTCTGCATCAGAGACACTGTGTGCCATTATTTATTCATAAAAATATGAAATATTTTCTCCCTGGAATTTGTTAAAATGGGGCAAAATGGAAATCACATACGGTTAAAATGGAACAAAATATACTTAGGCAACCGTCATCATACTTTGGAGGGGGCTCCCAAGTACAGCCTGTGTGAGAAACACTGCCGTAGAAATGATGCACTCTGCAAAAAACTTAACAGGCATGCATTCCATATAAACACTAGTGAGCAATGTCCGAATGAATGAGGAGTGCTTACAGAACACCTAATAATTAATATACAAGACGCGTCTGCGCATTCCCAAAAAAAAAGTGAAGCAGTGTCAGAAAATTAAATCAACATAAATTGCCAAAGAGCTTCACTGCAGCATACCACATCACTTATCCGCTTTTCCAGCTTTGGGATTGACTGATCGATTCAGATGAACAAAAAAAAGATTTTAAATGTGTGCAGAAAGTTACAAGGTAAACATAGATGGACACACTAAGCTTACATCTGTCACACTGTTGTTAAGACCTGCCTGTGATATGGCAGTGCTGGCAGTGGCCGAGTTTGCATGACCGAACTGGACTGAAAATAGACTAATCGATAAGCTTCACCCTGTGCAACATCAACCTCTCCTCAGTTTCCTATCACTAACACCAGTTACACCCCTTCCTTAAAAAGACATCTGAGAACCCTGTAGGTACTAAGACGTGCGTCACAGCTCAGTAGTTCAATTAAAGAGATGTTTAAATCCAGTTTTCACATCCGTTCTGTTGCTGTGGCAGAATAACAAATTATTGACCCACCAAGGGTGATAGAGTCCTAAGTCTCTACACAATTAAATCATACATTATAGCTAACGCGTGAAGTGAAATTGACTATAAGACTTTCACTAGGAGTGAGCTAAATTACGCTATGTTAACAAACGATAAACTACGCCACAGTACGTTTTTTAAGATCACCTCATGGGTGTTGTCAGTATTTTTAGAACACTGACCGACTTCATGTATCATAAAAAAGATATTAAAACAGCAAACTAACAACTAGATGCTAGTCCAATACGCAATTATCTTGTATTAGTAAATAATTTTTACCACATATATGATTTTTTTCACCAGTTCCCAGTTAAACAGTTTACTTTTGTAACTGCTGAATTTCAAAAAAAAATCTTCGTACTCAGTTTTTACAGTGTTTTTTAAATAAACCACTACTGTTTTGCTGGTTCTCTGGCAAACCTCAGAAAAAAATAAACACTGTATTACATCATATATCAAGTATCATGACATATCTTTGTCATATAGCCCGCTCTTATAACTTACATTAAAACAAGTTCTATTTCTTGGGCATCCAAGTGTACGTGCACCTCCAGTACTATACAACAGATAGCAACAATCACAATATCTCTGTTATCTCTGACTTGCTGCATATCCTAGTAACCTATGTGTCACAACCACAATCTGTTGAATCCTGTGGACACCACCTTTTGAAACACTTGCATTAAGCAAACATGGTCTCTCTCTACCAAATATAGACCAAATACAACTGTAGCCTTTCAGGGAAATAAGAGAGAAGTTAACTGTGTAATCCTACAACTGTTAAACTTCTCCCTCTTCATAAGAAGTTCATGTACTAGCAAAATCAATATTACAGCATAAGCTGAGACACATAAAAAGAATTCTTCAAAACGAAGCAAAACGTACAGCTCACATGAACAGTAAAACTCTACGGGCTACATATGCTACCATGTCAAACGCTATTTTCCTGAAAGAACTGGAACACAGCTAAGCCAATATGCATCTAAAAAAACCCTCTTTCTCATATGTTAGCAGGGATACATTTCATTAGCAGGAAACACCAGTCACAGCCTTCCTCCACAGGCTTGCATCTAGAAAGCCCAGCCGAGGCGCCTGCTCTCACTCAGGTCAGCTGCTCCGGTTAGCCGCTCCCTTCCTGATTAAACATACTGTAGTCTGGATCAAGCTTGAGTGCTCTAATGGTCCTCTGTGTGCAGTATGAAGATACAGATTCAGCCAACAACCCAGCTTGATTAGCATTAAGCAACTGGTTCTCCCATCCCTAGCGATAACTAGGACTAATGAAAAAAGCAATCCTACACACACTACACATGACAAACAGCACTAATATGTTTTAGAAGATCTCAAAAAAGCTGTAGAACTTCATTTACAGCATTTAAGTACACCATTTTTTAAATTCACATTTATCCATGCTGTGAAATGAAGCATGGGATTATTATGAAGTCATCTGTAGCCATGAAAAAATAATTAATTTCAATGTTAATTTGTCTTCCTTTACCTCGTCTGAATTCTCAGTTCCAGTATCCTTCCCACCGCCGACGTTACTGTTTTTGGTGCTGCTTTTTGCAGATTTTGGTGATTCCTAGAAATACCAAAGAACATCAGAGTAAAAAAATCTATGAACTGCAGAGCTACAGTCACAGCACTGAAATGACACATCACCATCATGCAGTTTCACGCTGCGCACCGATCAGACTAACTGACCACCGACCATACCGGGCCCTGTTGTAGGGAAGCACCATAAACCGAATTATCATTCAGCCGTCTTGTTATAATTCAGATTACTGAGATTACCTCAGACAGGCCCGGCGCATAACGTTAACTTACTGCGCTGTAACTGACATCCATACAGCTACCGGTCATCTGCATTATAGCCTGGCAGCTAACAACTAACTTAAACACGAAGCGGTGAACGACCACAAAGATTTAGCTTTGCAGTTTGTTCAGTTTTCTTCCATGAAGTCCTCACATGCGGGCTATTAGACCTTAACATTTACGACCCGATGTACGAGTGTATTATTGAATAAAGCTAGCTAACGGGTTAAATAGGCAAGGTTAGCCAAGCTAGCTAGCATGTTACTGTCAGTGTCAACACCACGGAGCAGTCGGGGCTGCAACAGCCAAGCTCTGACAAATGTCTGTCTGAATGCTGTCACGGCAGGGCAAAGCTGGTCAACATTAACGGGACAAACTGCCCATATAACTGTACAACTTGCACACCGGTAACCCTGGACAAAAACCGACCGCATACGGATTTTAAAAAATCCTAACGTTAACCTACCTGAGACGAATGAAGCCACATTCATACACATTTAGCCATATCGAGAGGTTAAGAAGAAAAAATGAGTGTAGACAGTGACTTAATACCGACACAATTTTCAAAAAAAGCCCCGTTAAAACGCACGTAAGTAACGGTTAACTCTGTTCGTCCGTTTTATTTAAGGGGCGCTCACTAACGTTAACGTTAGCTGGCGGGCTAACCGAACAGCACGGTTTGTTGTAGCGTTAGCTAGCAACAGCGGCTACTAAGGCCTTTTGTACGGTACATGGTAAAATAAAGTCCCACCACCACAGAATCACACAAAACAAAAGCGGATAGTCCGCGTCTCTGACATGGCAAATACTTCACCTTTTCTTTTTTAGTTTTATTCGGCATTTTGCAGATGTTCTTGAAGTATTTTCACGGTGGCTCCGTGACAGACCTGTGCAGCACTTCGCGCTCGTCTCTCTCTATCTCCCTCCCTCTCGCTCCCTCTCTCTCTCTATCTCTCTCCCTGGGTCTCTCTCCCTCACTGCGCTCCCCTGCAGGCCGAGCTCGTTTCCATTGGTCAGTAAAGAACGACACGGCCTGGAGACAAGCAGCAGGATTTTACTATTGGGGCTTGTTTTTTTCCCCCAGCACCGAGGGAGGGATGATGGCACAGGGGGTATCGCCGGTACCACCGTCGATCTTGGACAGAACTTTATCAAACAACGCATTTATCCTGCCAAAAATACAGCTTCCTTCCTAAAAAAGAGGGTTCTTCAAGGTTTCTTTAGTAAAGGCAATGGTTCTACTTTATTGAAACATTTCATAATTAAATGCCTTGCTGAAAAAGACCACTATGATGGTTTTGCTCTCTAATGGGAATTGGCTTAATGTTTACCATCACACTCTGAGAAATAAAGGTAGGGAACTGTCACTGGGGCAGTGCCCCTCTTGTCACTGGGGTGGTACCCTCAAGGGTACATCTCAGTACCTTTAGTCAGGGGACATAACTGTACCAAGTTGTACTGACTCCACACACCCCGTCTCGTCTCCAGGCTTTTTATTTTATTGTTCTGTTTTTAAGCATTAGGTTATGAAAAGGTACAAATATGTACTTTTCATCTGGAAAAACTTATTTAAGGTACACAATTGGACCTTAAAACCACTGTTGTACCTTTAAGGGAACAATTACATTGTTTGCACCTTGATGAATGAAAAATGCACAAGCACAGCATCTTTATTATATTATCTTTATATACTAACAGTGTAGAGACCCCTACTTTCCTGCAGGACACTTTTAGATCCCATTAGGAAACCATCTGGAATCAGTCTCAGGTGTAGAACACCTGTTAAACTATTAGAGTCCAAACTATTAGAGTTCAAGCTGCCACTTCAATGTGAAAACTGTAAAACTGTAAAAATGTGAAAGGCGCTCTCCAGAGCCAGTGTTTGGTTTTGTCCATTCTGGACTATAGAAACATGGTGGCGCAACATTTTAAGAGAGGGCCTTCTCTCTATGTTGATATAAAGGCCTCATTCGAAGCTAACGAAAACACAATAATTTGTACTTACAGGTGATTATACACAAATGAAAACATGGTTTTGTATACTGTATTCCATTTCTGCTAACAGAGCCTGCTAAATCTTACACACTGCACCTTTAATCATACGGCATTCATTGTTGCATTTATTACAATATCAAACACGTAATTTTCTAAACTATCATCACATGATTATTTTTATGTTTACCCATCCTTTGTGAACTGCTAAAGTGTGCCATTACTATGCCAGCAAGTCTGGAAATGTAGAAATTCAGGATATGTAAGTCACAATTAATATATATACTTTTTTCCCCTACATTGTTACAGTATCCATTACATTACATACAGCTTTCCCATCTCCTTCATGCTCACTCTCATAAGCATGTGGATATTGAGGACTGCAGGCATGTCTGCTTTATTTTTAACATTTTTTTGTCAGTGACAGGTCAGAGTCAGCCTTAGGTGATTGTGAGTGCATTAGGACAGCAGCTTTTTTTCTCAGTTAAATCGCAATTACTCTTGAAGTTATTACTTTTTTGAAATTAGAGTTTAATGTAGCATGTATGTATGGGGTAAAGAGGGGTTGGAAAATGGTCATGTAAGAAAGAACTACAACTGACATTGGTACATAAACTCATTTGATTTTCATAAAGGAAATGAATTTTCAGGGGAAAAATAAAAGACAAAAATAGAGCATATGAGCTCTTCATTTATTTCAGGTCAACATAAATCACTCTAGTTAAGGGTGAAATGCAGATGCATTAGGTGTACACCCACTGTTAGTAAAGTGTTGTTATAGGCAAATAAGATTAAGTTTATGACAGCGGTGCCCAGTTCCAGGCCTAGAAGCACATACTTGTGTGTAATAACAACAATAATAATTATTATTACCTGGAGGTATCTTAACTTCCATGATTGTTGCATATGTAGATTCTTAAGGCTGATTTGTAATATCAGCCTTTGGAGAATTGCCTACACCCAAACCTAGTCTTTAACATACTATTCCAGTTTTATCTCTAGCTCCTATAATTAAGACGCCACAAATAACTTTTTTTGCATGTGCAATTTGCATTGAGTGTATCTTATCTGAAATGTATGAGGACTGCAAGCTATGTGCTTACTTCTTTGCAGTGGTCATATCAGAAAAAGTGAATGTAGCACCATCTAGAGATGCAGTGTAGGCCTGCATTCCACGCGTTCTTTTACATTGTGTGCCTAGTGTGGTTGTGCATTTACACAGGACAACGAAAACAGGGATGTGATGGAAATCAGATTTTATTCCTCCAACAGAGAACAGCAACATTTTTCATTAATTTTATCATTAAGTTTACCCAGGGCCAAGGCTTAGTAACGGAATAAACCTAAAATGTATACAACAGTCTCTTGATATTTTTTTTTAACATTAAGTATGTGTAACTCAAAGAAGGACACTTACCTTTTTTGCCCACTGAGCATTCCTCTTCAACAAGCCTTTGAATGCAGCCATATTTCAGATCCAAAGCACTTTGTTGTTGTCTGACTGTGTAATGCAGATATTTACTGTTTGGGAATTGAGAATCCAACTACTCAGTAATTTTCAAAGGCATTTATGCAAAAATATCCATGGATGGGAATGGAACAAAATTACGCTGTATTCAAGTAACAGTAAAGCATACAATGCCTTTGTCTTTCATAATTCTAAATATATCAAACAAATTTAAATTAGCTTCAAAAGATTGATAGTGACCATCAATAACAGTAAAATTAGCAGGACAGCCTACTGCTTTTGGGAAGGATTGTCTATGGAGATTAATATTTCTGATCATACTCAAATTTCAGATAATGGGGTACAACAAATTACAGAACTGTTAGTCTGCAAAATTATTTTTGTAATACAGTTGTATGCAGAAGTTTATGCATCCTGGTCAAATAGTATTGTTTCTCTAAGTGAAAATAAGTTAACACAATTCTGCATATTTTCATTCACAATTACTGTTTATTTGCCAAATGTAAAAATTTGGAGTGGGGGGGGGGACTAAATATGACCTGTGCAAGACTGTATTTTTTTTTTTTCACCATCCAATATGTTAAAGTCAGGAAATAAACAAACTAAACACTAAAATGTGCAAAAAATGTATATTTAAGTGTATTCTCCGTAGAGGATGCGTCATCATTAATTGTCACTTAGAAAATCAATAAACGTTAATCGAGGGTTCAAACTTTTGAACACATAAATACACACACACACACACACACACACACCAAGTTGAGTAACTGCTGTATACTGAAGTTCCTCTCCACCACTGATGACAGTATTTCCTAGATGGGGACTTTTCTAGTCCTGGAGTGCACTTGGACACTTCAGCGTTTTTCTTTGCTCCAATACACTTGACTCATCAGACACCTGAGTTCTTCATCATTTGACAAAAAATATCAGTCCTGGAAACACTGTTAAATGGGATGTAAATATCCAGATATGATTAAAAACACAAACTTTGGTCACTGAAATTTATTTGAACTACAACTTGTACACCAGCAACTACAGAACAACATTATTTACGGAGACAAACAGGGCAGGTAGAGCACTTTCATGTCCTTTTTTTCTTAGGAAGCTTGGGGGTGAAAAAAGGAAAATGATATCCACCATCTTGACATCCAAGATGTTTTTGAAAGTACAATATGTAGATCTTGCTTCATTTCTGGTAAGGGCTGTGAAGAGAAAATATCTTATGCCGACCTCCATACCGTTTTTTCTCTTCTGAGCTTGGATCTCTCTGGCTCCTGTATTAAAATATCTTTAATTTACTTAAATGGAAGAAACAGGCAGAATGGTTTTAGACATGAACTTAAAGTGGACCTAAACACAGAAAAATGTTTTACATTACCTTATTTTTTTTTTTAAAAAAAGGAACCGTTTCAGCTGCAAACAAGGCAAGGAAAAAGCAGGATGTTCAAAACCATGTACAATAAAAAATACTGTAACATTTTACATGTATTAATGATTCATTACTTGACGAGAAAGTGTTCATTCTTTCTGTGGAATCTCCTTCCCAACACCCACTTCAGAATGAGTGTCAGTCCATCATTTCACTGGCATTACCTGCCAAAAGGTTAAGAAAAGATATGAAATATCTCGACTGAACAACGCAAATTAAATGTTTTACAAATTAAAGATACAGAAACAGAGAGGTTTCATGCACATCCCTAAACCTACTGTCTGAAGGTCCTTTACAAAGAGTCAAAATTGAACTCAAATGTGTCCAAATTCAGTTGCTCTGTGAAAGACCCTGGTGGGGGGGAAAATGAAACGGTTATAGCATCTTCAGAGTCCAGAGGGTTTTCCCCATCCTGATTATCCCCATCCAGGTTATCAGTTGTATCCATGATCTCAATGCTGTCCAGGATTGCTGAGGAGGCCTCGTGATCCAGAGAGTCTGCTTCATTCTTGTTAACAATCATTTCTAAACTCTCACTGTTCTCTTCATTTTCTGAGACCTCCAAAGTCTTTGAGTCTTTAGCCACCTGTGGCTCCTCCTGCAGGGAGCCGTTATCCACCTGTGGTTCCTCATTCAGAGAGCCCTTATCCACCTGTGGTACCTTGCCCAGAAACCCTTTTTCCACCTGGTCCTCGAAACAGAGAGCTTTTGTCTACCTCTGGTTCCTCGTCTAGAGAACTTTTATCCACAGCTGGTGGTTCAGATTTTGTTTCTCTATCTGCAGCTGATTCTTCACACTTGGAGTCTCCAATCTTTGGGCTCCCAACCTTTGTTAAATCTTTATCTTCTTGACTGGTCACCTGTTGTGCAGAGTTAGCTTTAGAGTTAGACTTCGTGCCTGCTTTGTTGCCAGCACTGGCAACGCTGGAGCTAACCATAGTGCTGCTGTCACTGTAGAAAATATCAAATAAGTCTTTTGCTTTTGCTGCAGCAAGGCTTTTTTTAGGCTTGTTTGATTTTGAAGAGGAGTCACTTGCTTTAGTCTGAAGTTGAGGAGGAGGACGGACCACTACTGTAAGGTTCTGCTCCTCCTCAGGTACTCCAGGAGCAGCTACATCAGACTCGAGACTGACAATACATTCAGGAGGTGCCTTCAGCTGGACAGCCTCAACATCCTTCATTGTGGATGTTGGAGGAGGCACAGAAGTAACTGTTGGAGGTGGCAAAAAAGTAGATGCTGGAGGTGGCATGAAAGTAGGTGGTGGTGGCATGAAAGCAGCTGTTGGAGGAGGGATAAAAGTAGTTGGTGGTGGCATAGAAGTAATTGGTGGTGGCGGCATAGAAGTAAGTGGTGGTGGCAGCATAGAAGTAATTGGTGGTGGCGGCATAGAAGTAATTATTGGAGGGGGTATAGAAGTAATTGGAGGTGGCACTGAAGTAACTGTTGGAGATGGTGTAGAAGCAGTTGTTAAGGAGCTTGATGTAACTGCTGGAGAATTTGAGACGTTATCACCTGGAGTTTTCAACTGCACCTCTTGACCTCCAAATGCCATGGAGATTAGATCTGCTGAGAGCACAGCGTCCTTCTGGGGCTGGGTTTTCATCACAGGAGATTTGCTGACTGTGGCAGTGGCTGGTCCAACCGAGGGGAGTGTGTTCAGAGGAGCTGGTTTGTTCTGGAACCCGACATTGGACTTTCTCAGAATATTGGAAGTAGGAGGTACACTAGGGCGGTTTTTGTTTTGGTTATAGGCTACCCATTCTTCAGAAGGGGGAAGAACGGTCTTGCCAGACAATTTGATGGCAATGCTCTTGGCAGCAGCCACCGATTTGGTAAATGCATCATGGTCCTCAGGGTCTTTGTTGATCTCCTGTGCTGCTGCAGCTGCAACACTCTCTTCATCTTCCTTTATGAACTGTGCTGCAATTCTTTCGGCTTCCTTCTCCAGCGCTGTCTTTTCAGGCTTTTTCCAGCTGAACTTTCCAAAGGCAGGACGGCCAGTAGCCTCCTCATTCTTTTTCCGAAGTTTTGCCAGCATGGCTGGACTGGGCCCACACAGGATCTTAGGAGGCTCACTGGGTTTCTCAGGCTCAGCCTTGGTGTCTTTTGCCGAGGTCTTAGAACTCTCTTTGCCCCGATCAGCCTTGTCTTTTTGGCGCTGCCATTTATCTTCCTTTTTCTCATATCTAGTTCTCTCCTCATCTTCATCCTCCCACTTAGATTTTGGCCACTTTACCCCCTCACCCTCCCTGTATTTTGGTCTCCTGTCTTCCTCAGCTTCGCGGCTGTATTTGTATTTCTTTTCATCTTCTCTACCATACCTGGACCTTTCATCTTCTTTCCTGTATCTATACATGTCATCATCTTCCCTGTACCTGTACCGACTTTCTTCCCTGTACCTAGATCTCTCTTCTTCAGCTCTATATCTCTCCTCCTCCTCTTTCCTCTGTCGATACCGGTCCTCCTCTTCCTTTCTATACTTGTTCCTCTCTTCTGCTTCCCTAGCATGCCTGGCCCTCTCCTCCTCTTCTTTTTTATACTTAAGCCGCTCATCCTCCTCCTTCTTGAATTTTTGTTTCTCTTCTTCCTTCTTGAATTTCATATGCTCCTCCTCCTCCTTCCTGTATTTAGGTTTGCTCTCCTCCTCTTTGATGTACTTCACCTTTTGGTCACCTTCTTTACTGTATTTAGGTTTATCCTCTTCTCCATCCTTGCACTTGGACTTCTTTCCCTCATCTTTGCTGAGTTTGGACTTTTTCTGGTCATCTTGGGTGTCATCATAATCATCACGCTTCCGTTTGTGCTCAGGCTGCTTTTTTTCACTCTCCATGCCAGCCTGGCGATCCAGGTTCCTCCTTTGCTCATAGAGAGGATTCTCATACATTTGTTTCTATTGAACAAAGCAAGGCAAATGTTAGACAATAAAATTCCTAGAAATATTGAAAGCATATGCACAGTGGGTAAGCTTAAAACTTGACAATAATAAAAAAAAAATTATATATAATTTGTATCACAAAACTGCATTACTATTTTTTTCACAGGAAATGATGAAGCATATGCAAAAGATCCTAAAGAACAAGAATAAAATCCAATTCTGAAATTTTTTTTGGCCAATACACACTGGAATCGAAATCATTTGGAGCCCTAACAATATTGTTTATACATGTCAACATGTTTTAATACTTATTTATGTTCAGTCTCCACTAAACCAAGTCCATGTTGAGCAAAAATCCTTAGACTTGTCTGCAAAGGAAGGTTTTAAAGCAAACTTCTCTGTAGAATAAATAAACTTATTTAGACCTATGTGTTTCCGGTAGAGGAAATAATTCTGTGACTGTTAACGGCTGAAACATGTAAAGTCATTTCTGAACATGTTTAACTAGGCACTTAGGCTGTATTAAGGTAGATATGAATTTGACACTTTTCATACAGGGAGATTTGCTCAAAAGAGGCCCAGAATATTCTGTAATAACTCTCTCTAGGATGAAGCAATCTGAATGAAACAACGCACAATGTGCTTCTCAGTATATGGAGCTTTGAACAAGCCGGGATGCCCCTGTGTCGGAGCGATGAGGTAGGCGCCGGACAGCCGTCGCGACGTTTAACCTCCGCTTGCAACTTCCGGGTGCATACCCCCGTACCCCTTCATGTGTCTGGCAGAAAACGGAGATCACTTCCAGCATCGCATGTAATGCAATCGATTACACATATGTCAAGGTATGTAGCATATTTTTTTGGTTCAGATTGCTTCATCCTAACGGGAGTTACAACAGAATATTCTGGGCCTCTTTCGAGTTCATCTCCCTGTATAAATGAGTTTATTTTGTATTTTACTTGATTCTTTGAATTTTACCCGCCTACAAACGTATGAAGAGGTATGTTCCCCTTGTTTTCACTCGACGCGTGCAGCAGCCTTACTGAGACACTGCGATGCCACTTGTACCATGAGTTTTATTACGTTTTTTAAACCTGCCACAGATAAAATATATAACACATATTAAAAAAATCCACTCTGTGTCCAAATCTATGACATTTTTAAAAAATTACCTTGTACTTCTCGTTGTGTGCATGGCACGTGACATGGGCCTCTGCGCAAATAGGATCGCCAAAAAACTGTACACACAACTGGCAAAAAAATCCTCTCACAGGAAGTAAAAACTCTGAGCCTGCAGGTGGAAAAAAAGTACAACAAACATTAAGACACAATGTCTACTCCAGAGACACAATCTGCAATAAATAATTACACTTGCCATGTTCCTGTGTTGAGAGAAAAAACTTGCAAAAATCTTACGGTTTTTATGCTTGAAAATTCGTTGCACTTTATTACATCAATACATATAATATTTAAATAATTAACCTATGCATACCAAAAATATAACTATTTTACATCATACACCTTTACCTTTTGCTGGTTTGGAAATCAGTTCCCCTGCGGGGCGTTTCTTATCACTCTCAGACTTTGCTGCCCAAGGTCTGTCGTAGGGGTCTAGGGTCTTTAAAGCAAAGACAAAAATGAATGACTAATTTTGCAATTTCTCTTAGATTACAACAGTGGATCAAGTATAAACTACTGCACAGATTTAACAAAAGTTCATAAAACAGACATGTGTACCTGCATAAGGTTAAAAGAGAAGGCACACATACCTTCCTATGTGTTTTGCTGTGCAAGTGTGTGAAAAAATCAAACATGGAACCACTAGTAACGTTGCAGTTTTTGCACCAGTGGTTTCCCGCATCATAGTACTCAAATAGCTCAGCTGATGTGTCTGGAGTCTGGGCACTAGCTGGAGTGGCCGACGGCTTGGTGACCTAGATTAGTTTAGGAGGGACAAATTACACATTAGAAAAAAAAGTGACAAGATCAACTGAAAGCAGAGTGAAAATAAAGATATGAAGGCACCTTAAACTGAATGAGAAATCCCAAATAAATAAATCATGTAAAAAAGTAAATCCTGATTCCCAATTACTAAAAGTTCAACAAAGTAATCTTACCTTTGCAATTTAGGCCATCTGTGCTCCAGCTGAGATGGAGTTACTCATGGACTAATTAATTTTACTCGCTTTTGACAAATAATTGGGTATTTTGGTTTTAAGCACCTGGAACATGGTACTGGGCTAGTATAAAGGCTTCAAACACTATTATTTGAAGGATATTGTATTGAAATTCAATTTGACATCCAAATGATGAAATTTATTAAAAATGAATTGATCGATTTTACTAACTACTCCGCAAAATTATCTTGATCATAATTGACATGAGCAAAGCACACTGTGTGTCCAAAAGTTTGCAGACAGCTGCTCATCCAGTGTTTCTTCTGAAATCAAGTGTAATAAAAGGGAGTTTGTTGTCCCTTTGTTGCTGCTCTTTCGGGAAGGCTTTACACTAGATATTGGAACATTGCTGTGAGGATTTAATTGCATTCAGCTACAAGAACATTAGTGAGGTCAGGTACTGATGTTGGATGATCAGTTCTGGATCACTCCAACTCATCCCAAAGGTATTGGCTGGAGCTCCACACGGATCCACACATGGCATCGGGCATGGTGAACTTGGGCTCATTCAACCCTGTGGTTCCTTCAAAGAATACCACTCTGTTAGCAATGCTTTTCTATTGAGAGTACATGTGTACATGCAATGACTGCCTGCAAAGAGCGCTCCTTAAAGTTGCTGAGTTCAGATTAGAAATGAATTAGAATTAGCATGTCTGGATACTTTTGGACATATAGTGTATGCAGTTGAATCCTATGGATGTACGGAACAACTCTGAAACCTACTGAACATGAAATAGTATCATTAACTCAACCTAGCTTCCTTGTAGTTATGAGCTTTAAAAAATAAGCTCATTTGCAGTTTCTAGATGAATTCTAGCTAGACATACGCTGCCTCAACTTTATGCAAATATGACACGTACTCTGCTACTTTGCAGCAATGTTTTCTATACGGGCATTTCTGAATTATAAACAAAAGTGTATCACCATATGCAGACATTCATATACTCCTAGCTCCAATGTTTGATGGAGGATTTGTAATGAATTTTGATGAAGAATTTTGATGAGAAACCATCGATTGGATTTTTTTCCCTTTGGAACTGCAGTAAATGAGACAAATCAGCTAAATCATGCAGAAATGAAACCTCTCCAGAAAAGACAAAGTTCATATAACCCTGATCCCAAGGGGCATATAGTGTTGGTCAATACAAATGACTGCAATCAGATTGCTGAAATCAGGTCCATTTGTGTCAGAATTGATTGCATCTACATCCAACGTATTTTTCTGTCTGAGGCCTAAAAGGCTTACAGATCCTACAACCTACCCTTGAATAACTATCACCATGCTTATTTAAATATACTAATTTTCAAACTTTAGGCATCAGTTCATTTAGATATGGAAGCCGATATTTAGAGTCTGTAACATAAAACGAACGTCAGGACATGCAGTTGATAATGTGTCTCATGTTAAGTGAAACAGGGAGTTATATTTATTTCAAAAACAATTACACAATGACTAATTTGTAATTTCTAAGTTACGCAAGTTTTCACTCTGTATGCTGAACCACATGCACCTAAAACACACATTTAAATCAGTAAATCAACCTAATTCATTAGGAATCGAATCACCTTTTATGCCGGCTGCATACCGCAAAACTTTCAGGTGTTTTCGCTTTTATTCTTAAGCTGGCCGTACACTTCAAATGAAGAAAAAAAAACGAACAAAATGCACTCGACTGCTGAACACGCTGTTGAAGTTATACTTAAAAAGAACACCTCACCATCGCTAGAAGCATGCCATGGAAAATTCACTGTTGGGGCGGAGGTCTCAAACCAAATGACGCAGATGATTAGGAGTTTTGCTCATCAAGTGGCACACAATGTACAAACTCAGACCAGCGCGCCAGTTTGGCCAAAAAGATGTCGTTTTGCTTGGAAACATTTCCGTTTGCAGTGTACTGCCAGCTTTCATCTGAATTTCTTATTGGCATATTCAAATACTGCTGGTTTAAAAATGAGGACACTGGAATTGCAAAAAAAAAAACCCATCTGTAGTTTAAATTAACTAGTTCATTACCTAGAAACCAGTAGGAAGATGAGACCTGTAAGTCTGCACATTTAGCTTTTGAATCCTACTCAGCCAAAGCATACTGCTTATTGTTTTGGAGGTGCATTACTTGCACGGTATATAGATGGTGGAAGGTAGTCATTATAAAAACTGCATCAGCTCTTGTCCCAACCCAAAATAAGAATGGAACATTGGTGCATAAAACCTTTTAACTCTGTATTATCACAGTCAATGGTAGCTATGACCATTTAAACAAACTGCAACATAGCTAATTGTCCAGCCCAATATAACACCTAAACTGAAAAAAAAGGTTTTGCATGATTTGGGTAAAATATCAATACTCTCTCTCCCTCCCTCTCTCTCTCCCTCCCTCCCTCCCTCTCTCTCTCTCTCTGTGTGGCAAGTGTTGGTACAAATACTATTGACTCTTTTTGCAAGAACTGTAAAAGTGCACTGTGCAGGATCTTCTCTTTTATCTTTTCTCATTAAAAAAATAAAGTCACCACAAGTCATCTGTCAACAAGAATGACTAAATAAACATGCAGTTTTCAGAAGCCCAGGCTGCCGAGCAATGTCAAATTTGTAGAAAATAATATCTAACTTCTATAAAGTGCATCTATTAGGCACGGCAGTAGGGAACTCGAGTCCTGGAGAACTGGATTCCTGCTCGAACACACTTAATTCTGTGCTGGACTCCAGACCTCCGTTCCCCAACTCTGTTTTAAAGTGACACTGAATTACATACAATATTTCAACCCAAATAATACTTTGTTGAAGTGAATACTCCTTATTTCTCTTACAATGTTCCTGCCCTCCAGAAATGTAGCAGCTGAGGTGGATTTTACCAAATTTGTGAAATAATAAATGCACTTCTATTTGTCTGACAAGCTTGTTTAAATACGAGTTTCTGCTGATGTTCAGGTGTTCTTTACAAAGTATTTTCTATCTATTTCCACCATGCCTTTTAGAAAAAAACACAAAATATACTAAAACAATAAAACATAAACACATGCAATAATGATTTTTAGTTCTCACAGACTCCTACCTGATAGGCTTCAGCAAAGACAATGAAATATTTGGGTTGAAATGTAGCTTTGGGTTGCACAGCTTTGATTTCAATGCTGAAGTCAACCATGCATTCTGATTCCCTATCTGTGGGCACTGATTCTTATTTTAATTGCTAGGCCTTAATGGACAACTCACAGAAATGTGCAAGAATTTGCTTTTGGAGTAAACCTTTCTAATATCCTCTCAGCCATAATGCTATTCAAAAAAGTAAAAAATACCTATTCCAAAACTGGCTGAGAAAACCTCATGAATCTGTCCTTTTCATCAATAAAGCTATTGTTTAACAGTTTAACAAGGATTGAACCTAAAAGTATGGCAGGCTTCATAATACTTCATATTTCTATTACTTATATAGAGCCTTGTTTTTAATGTGGCTTTTCCTGACAATTTTCCTGAGAAGACATGAGATTAATTAACATATATTTGACAGAGTTGTCCGCTTAGGCTAAATGAAGATAATGCAGAGGATAGATTTTTACCACGGCCGTTTCTCTCTGGGCCTATCCTGGATCAGCATAAGGAATTCTACCTTTGTGGTGGAAGTGTTTGAGGGAGCTTTAGATTTCTCTGGGCTTCTGGTCATCTCTTTTGACTTGCTCTGAGAGGGAGGTTGCTCACGGTCCCCAGAGCTCCGGAGGTTCCTGTGATCCAAACCCAGGATAGACGCGACCTTCACCAGTTCTTCATGCTTCTTCTCTGCTGCCTCATGTTCGGCGCGCAGCTTGGAAATCTGGGCCATCACGTCTTCTTGAAGCTGACCAAGTTCAATAAGGACAGGGTCCTTGTGTCCATCTTTCTCCCTTCGCTTCTTTCTTAGGAGTTCCCCTAAAGCACACAAGGCAATGACAAACGCACTTCATTAAACCCCCTCTATCATGTTATTTTAATGGGTGGACATTAATAAAAGTAATGACATACCTTGTTGCTTTCGCAATGTCTCCAGCTCCTTTATTAAACTATCTTTCTTCTTTAGTCGGGATTCTCTGTCTCTCTTTAGCTTCTCAAGCTCTTCAATAACCTAGCCATTATAACACTGCATTAATTTTTACATAGAATGATGCCAAGCCATATTTAAGCATGCTCAGTAATCTGATTAACCAATAGTATATTTGCAGCATGGGGGTCTTGAGCTAGTGGGACAGACAATTACTTAGATCAGGAATATTATTAACAGGTCAGCATGGTCAAATATGCATTAGACATTATGAGTTCTGGAGCTTTGCTGTTCTGCATAGCTTCATAAGCCTATAAGTAGCCTACAAAAGCATCCACTACAGTTTATCTGACTTTGACAAAATGAATTTATGTCAAAATAAAACTTATAACTTCGAGTGATCAATGCAATTGGTATATTAAACACAATCACACTAAACACATGAAACTGCACACTGATTGTCCAATACAGATACAGGTTAAGACTGGTCATGAGGTTAAAAAAGTTTTCAAAGTCAATGGCAGTGAAATCAGGCACTCGCCTTAAAGGGGAATTCCACCAATGTTTGAAAGAGTTCTGAGTAATTAAATGGTTAAGTAAAAAAAGTAACAGAGTGGTTTGATTCTAGAGAAATTTACCAATTCAGAACTGTTCACAGTGGTGGTGGTAGGAATCATGTCTAAAGTGTTTAATGCCCCTAAAAGCTCCATCACAGAAAGTTATTACATGAAATGGTCACAAATATGCTGCCTGATGCCGCATACATTGTCTTTTTATGAAGGTTTTGAGGTCAGGTCTTTAACTTATTTTTTCATGGCCAAGAGATACATAAAGGGTGTTATAAGGCATAATAGTCCCCAAAGAAAACATACTTTTTTCAGAATTATCACTATTAACATTACATATAAAAAACTCAGAAGACACAGGTAGATTCAATGGAGGTAATGGGTAGTAAATAAGACAGCTAAAATCAAAATACACATTGTGACCCTTGGTTCAAATCACCACGACCGTAAAGAAACCTGAGGCACTTTACAATGAATCATTTCATATCAAACCAACCTGAATGAGTTTGTTTACATCTCAAGCACTGAATTACACAGAAAATCAGTGTAATTTCCCTTTAAATTGCTCCTCTTTTCTAATGAGCAAAAACACAACAACATACAGCTCTCAAAATACATGCAAAATTAGCACCAGTTACAGTTAACGCAGTCGCTTCCACAAGCTACCTTTTGTTTTTGGCTGGCTGTATTCTTTTCTTCAATCACTCTCCTCTGATTGCTGCTGCTGCAACCTTTCATGCTTTGCATTGGGTCCACTTTTGGTCCTAAGAGACAAAATATTGAGGGTCTTTACAACATAGTAAAAAAAAATCACTCAGGTTAGTTACCAAAAAGAAAAGGATAAATGTTATTCACCCTTTTTATCTGACTCTTGCTTTTCATTTGAACTTGTATCAATTACTTTCAGGAAGGGTCGCTCTGTGGCAGGGGAGCTGTATTCATCCATGGGACTTTGTGGCGGCACTGGCATGCCTGGGGGTGGGTACATAGGCCATCCTTGGGGCATATATGGCATGTAGTTCCCATAAGGGTCAAAGCCAGGGGGATGGTAGTTGGGAGGCATAACCCCATGCGGGTGCTGGTGTGGATAGGGAGGCATCTGGTGGGCTGGGTGGCCAGGGTGAGTTGGGAAGGGATTTGTTCCTGGACCGACAACTTCAGGAGGCTTAGGACCTGCATTAGTCCAAGGGCTTTCTTCAGCTTTGGGGCCAGATCGGCCCTCCTTCTGGTTCTGACTTACTGACCTTGAAGATCGTTTTTCAGGAGGAACTGACCTCTTCCTGGTGCGGCTTGGGGTCCGCTCATGGCTGCTGCTTCGACTACGACTGCGACTGTGGCTGCTGCGGCTGCGGCTGCTGCTCTTACTCCGGCTCCGGCTCCTGCTCCGGCTGCTGGTACTAGTGCTGCTGTAACTCCTGCTGCGACTTCTGTGCTTCCTGTCAGACTGGCGGCGTGCTGCAGGGGGCTTCTTTGCAGGATTCTTACCATGGAGACGCTCTTGTGTCCTGGCAGCCATTTTACTGATTTCAGCCACACCCAGGTCAAGCCCAATAGTTTTGAGCAGGTCCTGTATCTTCTCATATTCCTCTACTTCTTGCCTAACCTTAGCATCACTTGGCCCAACAGCAGGTGGTAAATTACCAGGTTCCTCGTTAGGGTTCTTCTCAGGTCGGCCTGAAGGATAGTGCTTGTCTCTATACTTGCTCTCTCTTTTTGAATGGCTTAGCAAATCTTCAGGACGCCCAGGAACGTAAGATGACGTGCCATAATCATTCTTCTGTACGTCGTGAGGCTGCATCGCGCCTACTTTCGTTTCATTATAAAGTGCAACATCAGCTCTGGTCTCCCCATAGACATCCAACAAGCTGCTCTGTCCAGCTTTAGGCATCCCCGTCACTGGAAAACTGGGCTCCTCCTCTTCATCCCCATAGAGAAACTTCTCTTCATCTTCAATATCTACAAAGTTTTTCTTTTTGTCCAGTGGTTGGGACACCACTTCAGCCATCATGTTGAGAAGTTGGCTGAGGTCTGTGTTGTCCTGGCCTGGTCTCTCATGAGAGAAAGGAAGGTCATGTCCACTCTCTTTGGCAGGCTGAAGCCTGGTGATGAGCTCTTCAAGAGCACTGGCATTGGAACTTTGTGAAAGCATTGATGCTAGAACGTCTGGGTCCATGTTTTTGGTCATTGCACTGAGTAACTGTTCTGCCTCTTGCGAAAGGCCACTGCCTACGTTTCCTTGTGGAGAATCGTCATTCTGAAACACATTAAGTATTACAGTTTAAGTAGAAGTTAAACACCAGCAAACTATGTGCACACATTTTGATTAATGTCCCTCTTCGAACTCAATGCCGGATAGAAATATGTGAATGGTTAACAGATATAATCAGAACATCCATTAAGCTCAATGCCATGATTGCCTTGTTTGGTGCGATTCCCTCATTAGTGTCTCTTTCATCTTTGGGTGCTGATCTTCTGTCAATCTCCTCACTAGATGATAAATATTAATCAAATGGAAATCTCTAACTTGCTCTCACACATTATGGATTAAAGATACCCTCAATGTTGTGAATCTGGAGAAAAACTGATGCATAATTAATGGTCTTTTATGGACTTTTCACAAAGTCTGGGACTCTTTTTTTATATGGAGAATTTGTCCTCCTTAAAACTTTCTTGATAGGCTAGTTATTGACTACCTTCTAGTATAAAAACACAGCTGTGTTGTAATGTGTTAAAACAGTACTTTGGACTGACTCATCTATTGGTGTCAGAAATCATTTTACTTCATGTATTTAGTTATTCTTTTTCATTTAAAAAGGGAGCACAATTCGTCACAACACCGGGAGGCTGCACTGAAGACGTAGGTGCAGCAGCTGCTTTACTAAATCAAACATGCTGCGCTGCTTCAGATTTATAGAATGTTGTATTTGTAAATGTTTCATGAGTTTGTTTGTTTTAAGCTGCTTTCATACTGAACATGGAAACTTCGCTTTCATCACATGGAGCAGAGCGGCCCTCCTGCTGATCCAAATGAGCACCAACCACGGGAAAATGCAAGCTATGTAGAATGCATTAACGTTACATAAATACCGTCAGCAGCACCGTTTGTCCAGGAACTTTGACATTTCAGTACTGACCAGTCTGGAACCGGTACCAATTCAGTACTGATTTTCGATACCCATCCCTATAAACCACTCTCTCATTAAATGCTGCTGGAACCCTAAAAAATGTTTACATAGTACATCAAACTCTTATTTTAAAAAAAGCAAGGGAATTTTTGAAAATGTTTTGAAAACAAAATGGTGACAATCCTACCTAAACGACTGGCTTGGCAAAGTAGTTTTTGACCTCAGAATGTGTTTTTGTGCAAGTTCAATAAACTCACTCCCTCATTACCAAGCGACACCTACCTGCGCTAACAGGGGAGAATCCGTCTCGGAGGAGTCTATTCTCTTCTTCAGGATGGATTTAGTGGGCATCGACAGCATGTCCTCCAGTTCTTTACGTCGCCGGGCCATCTTGAGCTCGCTGAAGTCTTCACTTCGTTTCTTGCTGGCGCTGCTGCGACTACTGCTGCTGCTGCTACTGCCACTGCGGCTGGAACTTCTCCCTCGGCTCCTGGCTCGGCTCCTTCCCCTGCTGCGGCTTCTGCTCCGACTGCGGCTCCTGCTGCGTGGGCGGCTCTTACCCCTTCCTCTGCTGCGGTCCCTGCTGCGGCTCCTGCTCCGACTTCTGCTGCCTGCTTTGCTCTTGCTGCGCGCTCTGCTCTTGCTTCGCGCTCTGCTTTTGCTGCGCCCTCGGCTCAGTGCCCTGCTGCGGCTCACGGCCCGACCGCGACTACGGCTGCGGCTCCTGCTGCGGCTCCTCGGTCGACTCTTGCTGCGCATCCTGTCAGGACTGCGGCTCCAGCCCCTGCTCCGGCCATGGCTGGGGCTGCGCTTTCTTGAGCTGCGATCATCGGGGCCATCGTAGCTCTGGCGTGGGGAGTAGTCTCTGTGACAGAAAAAAAAAAGTTCTCTAATGCGAAATATCTAAATTACACTATTTCCCCCTACCATAAACAAAATCGATTAGAAAAATGTGTTTGGGGATAAAAGGCAAACTAGTGCCAACAAGGATTTACTTTTCATAACCCACCAAAAAGCCACATACAAACTGCATTAGTAGTTGTCACGCAATGTCAAACAAACCTGTTTATGCGATTTCTGATGCCGCATAACAAACTCTTAAAAAACACAGAAGCATGAAGCAAATTCAAATTTCATGCTTGCTACTACTGTTATTACCAATGTAACATACAAACGTCAATTTTTATAGGCAACAGTTTGCAACACGCTGTCAGAAACCGGCTTCAGCTGTGCCACACCACAGCATCCCAATCACTAATGACCCTGATTAAGGCTTTTTTGATGTACATGCATCAACATGCACAAAAGCTATCAGCTTGGCATGCTGTCATAGGCAACTAAACAAAAACAGTCTTTACCTGGCGTAGGGGATCTCTGGCCCTCCTCTCTGGGTCAGCTCATTGCCCACAGTTATAATGAGACTATGGTCAACAGGGAGCCCACCTCGAGGTGGTGAGGGGGTGTATCTCTGTAGAGAAAGAAAAAAAAAGATCAACATCAAAAACAACGGTGACTGCATATCCAACACATACAGTGCCGCAGCATGACACAAAGTGGAATTCTCAGAATATCATTCAGTCATTCAGGCTATGAAGTATTTAATGCTTCTAAAAGCTCCATCTCAGAAATTATTACATGAAATGAGATGTTTTATGACAGATTTGAGATACGATTTTGGTCTCTCTCATGAGATGTACCAAATGTATTTCGTTTTTTTTTTTAATTTGGAAAGTTACATGCAGCCCCCTCCCTTATGTTTTAACAATACCAACATATAAACACGAATAAAATGACTATATCTGCACTGTAGACACAGCAACCCTTGACTCCCATTACTACCACTGTACAGAAACATGACGCATTTTGTTTCTCTAAAATAAACCACTGCACAGCAAACCACTCTAAATGACTTTGTTTACATCTCTATCACTGAATTAAAGCAGATGTTTTGCAAATTTGGTAAAACTGACCTTTAAGACAGAGGTCCTGCTAAACCCATGCTTGCATGTTTTGGTGTTTTCCTTCTAACACTAAGCTCCAACAGACCTGATACAACCAATCAGTTCACTGACAACCTTTACAGAGCTGAAGTAGGTGTGTTAGAGCAGGCAAAACGCCACAACATGAAGAGCAGGGGTTCTCCAGAACCAAGAGTGGAACCACAGGTTATTTATATCACAGTGCTTGTGAACTGCCTGTAGATAGGTTAGACTAATCAGAGGCAACCAAACCTCCATGTGTTGTGACATCACAACCTCAACTTACTGGCTGTCTGGCACACTACATTCAGGAGTTACACTCAGGCCAGAAAAAGTGGATATTCTGGTCTTCTTGGCAAGAAACAGGCCTGAACCCTAATTTTATAGAAATTATTTGCAATTCACTGCGATGGACCGGCGACCTGTCCAGGGTGTATCCTGCCTTCCGCCCAATGACAGCTGGGATAGGCTCCAGCAACCCACTGCGACCCAGAAGGATAAGCGGTTTAGATGATGTATGTATGTATTTGCAATTCAAATCGCAGCTGCAATATTAGAAAAATCGCAATTTGATATTTTCCCCCAAATCGTTCAGCCCTACACTGCACTCAAACATCTACACATTGGACAAAAGACTATTGTTGTTTAGACGTTGAATCACGCTGCACCGTGCAGGTAACAATCAAACCCTGCGATGGTAGTTTAATCAACTGTTTTGCTACGAGGCTTCAGTTGGTTTCCTATTCGCCAGCTTTCTGTTCGAACGTTCCCGTTCCACCTTAAATGGTGCAGCACTTGCATGCTGGCGCCCAGGCATCATAATAATAACTGCTGGACCATTTAAGGTGGAACGGGAAAATTCGGACGAGATGCTGGCGAACATGAAGCCGACTTCAGCTTCGTTATTCTGTTAGGTTAACTGATGTGTAGCTTCTCTGCGACACACGGATATGAACATCACTTCATAAACAAGGCTGTATTGTTTAAGCAGGTAATCAAACAGCATCCAAAAAGCTGTGAAATGTTTCCAGCCTACATGTCCGTAGTCTCTGGAGGGAGGCCCGTCCCCCGGTCCTCTTCCTCCGGGGGAGGGGTACCTCCTCCTCGGCGGAGAGCGCCGGTGCGGCTCCGGGGGTCCGCGGTACCCGTGGGGGACTCCGTTGCGGAACGGTGGCCGTGCGAACGAAGGAGGACCGCGCGGAGCGAAGCCGCGACCAGACGAGGGGTAAGAGCCTCTGTGCGGCCTACCGCCTCGGTACATGCTGCCAGGCTGCCGGCCGTTTTCGTTAAAACGTGCTCCGGCTGCCTACGAGGAACAACTTAGGGGGCGAATAGTTTTTCGCACGCTAAACGCTTTCATTCCAAATTGACCCGGTGAAGGAAAACTACAGCTCAGCGCTGCGGATCAATCAAACCCCTCTGTTTTAGTTCCTGCACCGCCATTCGAGATGCCTGAACGGGAAATGACGCTTTCTCTCTCTCTGAGCCAATCAAAGACAATGAACGATACCATAAATTTACTCTTTACTAAATTAGTAATTTACCAAGCTGCTAAAATGTGAGCATATACTGTAGGATTTGAACGCGTCAACCTGAGCTAAATAAAACAATTACACCTGCTGGTAAACTTGGCCGCCTGTAAAAAATAAAAGTTCGTATCAGCTTTATTAAAAAAGCCTTCGTGTCCAAACGACGCTTAAAATGTATAATAAATTCAGCATTTGTAAAGTAAAAACGTACCGATATTGTAAACACAACATAAATACATGATAAGAAAAAAATCTGTGCGTTGGATTTTTATTGAGTCATTTATCAATTAGATGCAAAACTACTAAGTCTGTAAAAATGCTTATGCTGTACATTTGTAGTTTTTTTTCAGTTGTTTATCCATTACAGCTGGGGGCCCCTCAGAAACAGTCATGTTAAATGCATACAGTATTATGGCCAATGCTCTATATTTCTAACCTTATGAATTTTACATTGATTGCTTATCATTTATTCTCATTCAGAAGAAAGACACCTCCCAACTTCCCAAATTAGCCTAGGTAAAACTACCAGCGATAAACATCATACAGCTAATGTATACATTGTGTAATATGTATATACTTGCAAAAGATGGCTCTTAAAGGGCTCTTTTGGAATAAAAATGGTTCCATGTAGAACCATTCATAGAACATTCGAAGATCCATTTGCATGATTAAATGGTTCTTCAGATTCATGGAGAATGTGTTGTGTTTATAGAACCAAAGCAGCAAAAAGGGTTCTGCATTGTAACATGATTGACATCATAACGATAGCAGGAGCCTTTTTGGTGCTATATATAACCATATACAACACATCTCAATCAATCTGAAGAACCATGTCACCATGCAAAGAACCATTCAAGCATGCAAATTGTTCTTTGAATGTTCATGGTTATGTAGAACCACTATCTTTACTAAAGGACCCCTGAAAAAACATCTTTTTTAATAGTGTAGCTATTAAGCTATGAAATTATGTAAAACTACTAGCAATAAAAGCAAGCTAATGCAGATCTCCAGATTTTATCTTGCTCATAATTTATCTTGAATATACAAAACAATCATGACACCCACACATGTTAACAGATGGCTTTTTTTATTCCTCATATGCTCTGAGACAGTGACATGTTTTGCTATACAATAAATGAAAAATAAACTAATGAATTGATAAACTGCAGTTACAGTCTCACTTGGTTCTTGAAATCAGGGCCACCTAATGGGAATCGTACTTCAGTCTAAACCACTGATTAGTGGTTTATGTACATTCCAATAATGCATCCAAACATTAGCAGCACAAACGTATCAACGTCACTGTTGTCCTACCAGTACAACTTTCTACAATGCAATAAAGTTCGTACAAGTTTCTCAAGGTCTTCTAGGCAGTCTGTTTTCTACAGAAATTACTACACAAACCATAACGTAAAAGTTTTTTTTTGTTTTTTAAGATTTTGAATAAGTACACTATTCACATACAAAATCAGCTTTCTCAAGATAAAATATAATTGCTCCTCGGAAGTGTGTTGTCTTCTTGTAGTTCAGTCTTTGTTCTGTTTTCAGAAGATGTACAGTGCAGTCCATCAGATGCTCCAAACCTATATAAACTTCTGAGTCTATCCAGAAGATAGGGAAACCTAAGGGCTCCCATTACCACCTGCAGAAGAGAAAGGCAACCACTGTATAGACCACCAAACCGGCTTCATGCTCGGGACAACAGGGGAACAGGGACAATACATTTAGTAGCATCCAGTGGGCATTACAATATCTGCTGTAGATAGTAAATCTCAAACAGACAATACAAATCATCTGAGTAGAAAAAGTTTGCTTTAATTAATATTTTGTGCTGCTGTGTACAGCTCAAGGAATGCATTCATCAGCAAGGTGCATTGAGAACTCATACAGAATGCTTACAAAGTGGTATCAATACTGCTTGATCAGCAGTATAAAACATACTACATTACTGTGGTTCAAAAGGCACATCCAAGTTTTCAAATAATTTTTGGAATTGGAAAGAAAAAAAACCTCAATAAACAGACACAGTTGTAAATCCTGTATTATTTTATTTTCATACTTGCTTTTATACAGTTTTGTTTTTAATAAACATAACCAATAAAACAAATCAAAATCTTCTAATCAACAAAAAGATTTGAGTAGGTGTTTATTAAAGATCACAGGATGTTTTTTTAACCAACAGTCTTTCTATAGACCTTTTTTAATCCATTAAAACATGCAGTGACATTCATATAACCTTAGGTTGGTATCCAACCCTAACAATGTAAGAGATACATGGATGAAGACATTTACACAGTACAAGAACAATGTACAGAAGTAAAACAGCATTATGAAATGAACCATGTTAAAAGGAGTCTACATTTCAGAAGGCTCATCCTTATTTATCTCACTCTCCCACTTCTCAAGGAAGTCTTGCATGTTCAAATTGAAAGTGTCAATTCCCTTACCAGAGAGGTGAACCCCATCTGGTCTGTAGAGGCCAGTGTCCAAACCAGGCTTTATGTTCTCATGAGAGAGAGAAGATCCACCAAGCTCTGTAATAATACCGCAGATGCTTCTATTGATGGCCCTTCGCGTGTTGTCCACTGCTGCACTGTCCTCCGAGTGCCTCCAGGACCTACGTGGTAGGATGTCGGACCAAACCAGTAGGCACTCAGGAAATATGCTCTTCATCGAAATCAGGTCTTTCTTCACGGCTGCCAGGAAGGCCTCTGTGGTGGTCTTGCCGATATCATTTCCTCCCAGGTGTAAGAGAATCACATCAGGTTTGGGCCAATTGTCTTTGAGCTGGAGCAGCTGGGGCAGAAGCTGTTGCCAAGTCATGCCCTGAACACCCTTCCACCATATCCGCACACAGTTGGGGTCCATCCCAAGCTGCATACCAATTTCAGGAGATGTGGCCCTCTTCTCAGCCCAGAACACCAGGGAGTGGCCACATATCCACACGTTCTTTACCTCGTTTCGGGTAACTTTTCCTGTAACAATATAGTGGGAGCATTAACCTCAGGAGGCTTGGCCAAGTGAGGTGCGAAGAATCCTCCCCCTGTCTGAAATGGTGGTCCACATTTGCATAACCTGCATCAGAATAGGACAATTCTTTTCCCTACAAAGATTTACATTAGATGTTAGATGCCCTTAAAATACCAGCTACTTTTCATTCCAGCTACACTATAAAATGTCCTCTGTGCTGTCATGTCTATATATACACACACACACACACACACACACACACACACACACACACACATACACACACACACATGATCTAAAGGCAAAAAGCCCTTTAAACACTGAAAAACAAGTCAAGATGAAAGAAATATACAAATATTTGTAGATAAACAGCCCTCTAGAGCAAGGGTTCTCAACCCAAGTATTCCTATCAAGTATTCACTTACTGAACAAATGTGATCCAACTTACCAGCTAATGTCAAGCCTTTCACAAAGAAGATCAGGTGTGAGGTGACATCTGTGCTTACTTGCTGCTTAGACAATGCGTTTTACAATGTCTTGCTACCTCCCAGTCTAGCTGGCACTAGACTCGCTGGTGGTCCTTCAGACTGTACCTTGCGTGTCACTCCTCATCATGGCCCCCAAAAGTCTGGAATTCTCTTAGTGTCCCTGTGAATGCCCTTCCATCTCAACCTAACAGAACTTTTGCTTACTTTATGCCTGAATCATATGCACCAAATAAGCTGACTGAGGTACCCTATGTAATCCCCTTATTCACCTACTTGCTGGTGCATTTTCCTTGCTCTTTGTTTCGTCCTTTGTAAGAATGATCAACTACATACCTGTAAAAGGTCCTAAATTAGACGATTTATCATCATGATTCTAGATCTTGTCAGAAGCCGGGTTAGTTGGGTATGATAAATGGAAAATTGCTGCGTTAATTCTAGCACTATTAATAAAATCATGTTCTGCTAGAGAATGCACACTTCAGTTTTAACTTTGAAAGTCTTTGTTTTATCTTTAAAAGAATCATGTACATTCTTTATTTTAACAGACTGCCACTTAAGAACCTCAACTACCTAAAGAGTCAATGAGTGTTTCACTAAAATATCTGAGGTGGACATGTGAATTGCCAGTGAAAATCCCATTATCATGATAACAACAAGCACTGGCAACCACCTTCATGATTTGTTTCCCAAAAATAGTAATACCGGAGCTGCAGAACTGGCTTGGTTGAGGTTCATAAGTCATGACTGGACTGAAGCAACCTCATTCTACATACATCTAATATTAGGCTGGTATTCAAATCTGATATCCTGCCTATTAACGTCAAAAATAGTAATCTGGTACCTGGTGCTGATTTCTGGCTTTGTCCATGTGTTCGCTGAGCTTCCATTTGTTGCTCTTTCTTCAGTCTCATCCTCTGGTTAAACTGCTCCAGCTGCTCAGAACAAAGGCGCAAATAAAACGCATCTCAAAGACATAACAGTATTAAAACAACCGCGCGGAACGCAGCACAGAGAGTGCTCTTCTGGTCGAATTTAAACAACTGAGAGGCACGGACCGAGGTGCCTTCAATTCAAAATCATAAACAGCCAAACAATATGCAGTCAATCAATCACCTTTTTTATAGCTGGGTGTGAGAAAAAAGGTGACCTACCCTCTTCTTTTGTTTAGCTTTGATGTCATCCTCCATTACAGGTGCAGCTTGTTTTGATTCATCTTCTCCTTGACTGTCTTTAGGCCGAGTTTCTTCTACGGGCTGTATGCTAATGAGTGCAGGCCGTACACTGGCCAGTGCAGGTTTTGTACTAACAGGTTCCTGGGTTTTTATTGTTTCAATTGTTTTAAGGCATCTGGTTGGGGCAGTGGATTTGATCTTAACCTGACTGGTGCCGTAGCCAGAAGCTCCTGTTTGCAAGGGCATGTTAAATTGACCTGCAGGGGGTGGATAAATAGGGGGATGGAGGGGGGCCAAAAGGATTTGGTGTGGAAAAAGGAGGGGGGACTGGGAACAGTGGTGCTGTATAAGTGCCATAGCCAGGTGGTATACCGGGAGGTGGTATATTGGGAGGTGGTACACTAGGAGGTGGTATATGAATTCCAGCAGCGTACTGCAGAGGACTTGGAGGAACTGAACCGTAGGGAGACACAAGATCCTGAGAGTTCCCTTTCTGGTCCTCATCCAAGTGATAGCTAGACTCCCAAGAATTCTGTCTACTTTTGATGTAGGGTGTAGCCAATGAGGATTCAGTGGCTTTCTGTGTATACAAGAAACTGCCGGACTGAGCTGATGTTGACGGGAACTCCGTTGTAGGTTGGTAAGAATCATGAGCGACCTTTGCTGATGATGCAAGTTGATTTGAATCTGGAGTCACCTGTCTTGCCTCTGGACTGTTCTTAATAGTCCTTTGAAGGTTGACCAGATCTCTCTCCTTTACACCTGATACTTCATCATGCTGGTCTCGAGACTTAAGAGAATCCGTGTAAGTCATGTAAACCTCACGATTAGAGGATTTTGTAGGAGATACAGAACGGACACCCTCAGAGTCAGAGGAATCTGCCCTGCTACCCCTTCGATTATATCTACTCACCGATTGCTCATCTTTTTGATCGAACGAGTGAGATGATGCACTCTGAGGTTTCACTTTCTTGCCGTACAACCGCTCCCTTGTCCTGTCAGCTAGCTTACTAACTTCTGCTGTGTCTAGTTTAAGACCAATTGTTTGCAGTAGATTCTGAAGTTTTTCATAGTGCTCTGTCTTTTTGGCTGTTTCTTCACTGGTGTTCTCTGATGTCTGATGCACTGGGCTACGACTGTCTCCTACTCTGTACCTCTCAGACTCTTTTTGTCTTTCGTATCTCTCTCTATTATCTGCACGCGATTCCTGAGTATGTAAATACGGATTCTGATAGCCCTCCACAGAATGACTCTGCCGCTCAAAATCACTGTAGCGATTCTTGTGCTGATCATATCGATCACGTTCTGAAAACGGTTTCTGCTCTTCTGAAAATCTGCTTTGACTCTCAGGTGCTTTTTTCTCTTCATAAAGGAACCGATTCTCAGCCTTAGCTTCTGTCCCATATTTCATGCCGACAATTCTCGAAAATCCGCTGCCATCCTGCACAGCTCTTTCATGCGGCAACAGATCATCATCACCATGGTCTTCCAAACAGTTTTCAACTTGTCCAATCACAGAAATCCTACTCTGTTTGCTCCCCATTAAGAAACGGTTATCTTCACTGCCTTCGGTTTCTTTGAAAGGATCATACAATTCATCCTTGTGGGGCAATTTTCTACCAGGCTGAGCTTGTGGATTCGTTTGACCCAAAGAATTTGAGTCTTTTCTGGCTTCCCTCAACAGTGAGGACAACAAATTTGAATCTGCCTTATTAAGAGCGCTGAGAAAACGCTGCATTTGTGTGGCAACATTACGTTTCTGCTCTGAAGTCGAAGGCTGGACTGAAGGCCTGTCACTGATGGAGGACTTATCACCAGCCTGCTGTGAAGACTGGTGGCTTTGGGAATGTGACGCAGAACTTGTGTCTTCATATGAACAACCGGCTTTGGCCTCTCCTGTACTTTTTTGGCCGTAAAACGGTCCAGAATTCGTCACGGAGGAAAATGACCGTAGGCCAGGTGGATTGTTAAAAGGTGAGGACTCGCTCCTACATGCACTTGTAGAAACTTCACTAATTAACCGCTTGAAAATATCAACAGTATTTAGTGGATTCATTGATTTTTCAGTCACGGTATGAGAAGACCCAGAGGGTTTGGAGAAAGCTGAGTAATCATTTTGAGGAGGATTAGAACTGGGAAATAGAGTATGACTGTAAGGAGGTGTATCAGTCGAAGTCATATCACTCTGTGAAACATAGAAGATAAAAAAATAAATGCAAAAAGATAAATAAAAGCAGCAATACTGTATTGTTGGAGTAAAAATATAATACTTTGGAAGTAGTAAATGCAGTTTTACTACAGTGTAATGCATTAAATTTGGTAAAGTATTCTTAGCCAGACAACTCAAAGAGATGGCATGAAAGCACTGAAAGCTAGACACTGTACTTTATAGTTTTCCCATTACTGACTACCTACTATTCCTAAATACTTACTGTTGTAGAAATAAGTGTGACTAAAAGTCTAATACCACCATAACGCTGTTCTACTATCTAATCTTTCTTACCACTCATCATAAATCTAATATAAATAACGTAGATCAGTTAAGAGAAACATACCTGTGGCTGATCAGGGAGGTGTTCTGATCGTTTCTTCAAAATGGACTTCTTTGGTTGGGGATCAGGTTTTATGTCAAGTCTCCAGGTGTCCTTACTGGGTGCTGAAATGTCCAAATTGTCAGAGCATGAAGCAAAATCATATTCCTTTTTGATCTCAGGCTCATCAGAAACAGCTTTAGCTTTTTGCTCCATGGCCACAATTGCTCTTTTACGTGCTATAGATTCACTTAATTCTTCCAGCTGCCTCTTCTTCCTTGCCAATTCTTGATCTGCAGTCTCAGGTGAAGAACTCCGCTTCACCCATGTAGGCGCTGAACAAGCATATGGGCTGGTAGTACTGCTCCTCGGGTATCCTGCTGGCTCTTCTGGGCTCAAGCTTCTTTTACTTGCCTTTGTAAAGCATAAAAGAGAAACAAAGAGTAAGATACTGAAAAAACAGAAGTGACTTAAAAATGATTTAATTGTATGAGAAAACAGACCTGATGTTGAGGTAAAGTAAGAGGATCTGAGTGTTTCTTCAAAATGGACTTGGCTGGTTTCATGTCAGGCATCCCATGTGCTTTCTAGACATGTTTTGTGCTGGTAATCAAATGTGGCAAACCCATGTTGTCGGTCCATTTCAAGTACATCTTTAAATGATTTAGTGTTTTGTTCCATAGCAATGATTGCCCTTTTACGTGCTATTAGCTCATTGAGCTCCAATAACTCTTTCCTTTTCTTTGCTAATTCATCATCTACAACCCCAGAAGACAGATCCTTATAACCAGAGGAGCTAGCTAGAGATTTTGATGAAGACTTTTGGCTCTCTGATTTCTTATCAGGGCTTTTGCTTCGTCTCTTGCTGCTGCGCTCCTTACTGATGCTTCGTCCTCTGCGGGCGTCATTCCTGTGTTCTGGGCTGCGGCTTCTCTTCTTGCCACTTCGACCACTCCTTTCCCTGCTTCTACTGCGGCTACGACTGTGGCTGTGACTAGGCTTGTATCTGTGTGTCCGATCTCTGCTGTGGCTGCGGCTCCGTCTGTGTCTGCTGTAACTCTTCTCCCGACTGGAGCTCCTGTGCCTCCTGTAGTAGCTGCCACTCCTATCGCGGCTGCGGCTCCTGCTTCGACTGTACCTGCGTCGGCTGTTTTCTCTGCTTCTGCTACGCTCCCTCTCTGCTTTACCTTTCTCTTGTTTGCCTTTAACGTCTTGCTTTTGTGATTTTGTCAGTTTAACAGCTTTGGAAGCTTCAGATTTTCCCTTCTCTGGTCTCCTAAAGCAGAATGAACAAATGATGGCATCTGTCAGTTTCGACTCAATCTTATCAGTTATGGTGTAATAATTTCAATTCTTTCAAAATGCATTCACAGCATAATCAGTGGTGAATTTGTACCGTTTATTTTCACTACTTTATATATTTTTTTTATATTTATACTTGTCTTTTACAGAACATGTTCGCTTAAATACATTTTTCTTAACTTTACTAGGACAATGTTCTTCTCATACAATTTGTTTCAATGATGTGGCCTCACCAAACAATAATGAGGTAAACCGCAATATTTAGCATACACAATATTGTTATTGTGGACACTTGAATACTGTGAAATATTCTCACTGCATTTTGGTCACATAAAGCCCTATTCCTACTGGATTAGTTTTACCAGGTGAGGTAGTGTAATTGTAGTGATGACCGACAAGATCCATGGTTTTAATCCAGCACAAAGCGGCAAAGTCTGCTCAGTAAAAAATCTGGAGTGAATTACCTTCTATAATTTGCTGAACCCAGCCATTTAAATCACGTGCAGATTACTAGACCATCTCCGGTAAAACAAATCCAGCTCAAATATGGCTTAAGTTACGATTTCATCACAGGTTTTTTTGATATGCAAAGTAGCTCTTGTTTCCCACTATGCTGTCCCCTTTTTTTTTGCTGCAAGCTTTATTTGATGTTTGTACATCCGTTTTTTTTTTTTACTTTTCTGTCATAGGCATCCATCTACGTACATCTATTATCTAGTGTTTTTTTCTAAATACAATATTGTGATATCTTAAATTATGATAAAGGGTTAGATTTTAATATGGGTATCAACAAGTATACAGAATCTCCACATTAATAATTCACCTAAAATGCTAATATCATTCGTGTGAATACCATTTTATTAATTACTAGCAACATTTATATTTTCCTTAAAAACTGTCTGATTATTGTAAGTATATAAAAAAATGTGTTTTCTAACTGAAACCCCCAAATGTGTGTTATCATCACTTACTCACCTGGCAGCGGCCAAGTTACCATTTTCTGACCTCTTTTTTGACCTCGTTATTGATTTGCTCTTTCGGATCCCTCAACAATTTGATTGTCATTTTCTTCTGCAAATATCCAAACATAATAATAAACGATCTGTATTAAGCAGCCAATCAACTTTTTTGGTTGCCTTTTAAAGCATACACAGTACCTTCTCTTTCTCTCCGAGGCTTTCTAACTTTGGCACAGATGTGAAGACACTCTCAGTCAGCCTCTTGATTCTAATAGCTCGTTTACCCCCTTCAGCTCCTTCCTTCTTGAATTAAAGCAAAAACTGTATTAAAATGTATCATCCTTTATTTATCATCACTGAAATTCTTACTTATTATGGTTAAAAGTCATATCTGGATACAAAAATTAGAAAAAAATGACAGGGTAGCAGTGGTAGGTCAGTCGAAACACATTTGTTTGCAAAAGTTCGGTCACCCCTGTCAAATTACATGCTTTGTTGATTTTCTAAATGAAAATAGGTTAAAACATTCTCTACAGAGAACACACTGTACCTTTTGAAGCATGACTACTGCATATTTTCTGGATTTCACACATTTGGGGGGGAAAAAAAAATGTAACCTGGGCAAAAGTTGTATGTATATTTAGATTAAAATATCATTTTTTATTTTTTATAAACACAGCAAATAAATAGAAACTGTACACTTCAATTTTTCAACAAAATGCCATATTTAAGTGTGCTCTCTCTAGAAGACGTGTTCACTTTTTTCATTTAGAAAATCAAGAAAACGTCATTTGATGAGGGGTCTTCAAGCTTTTGCACACGACTGTATCGGGATTCTCAGAGAACAGACATCCTGATAGCCATAATAAGACACTTACCGCTGCTAACGTAAATTCAACCTTTTCTGACAAAGCGAGCTTGGTCGATTCCATGACCTCGCTCAGGTCAAAAATCAGTTGTGGGTCCTGCGGAGTCCTGATGAGCCCAGAATTATCATCCAATTTTACAATAACACCCTGGTAGAGGAAGATATGTCATGACATACGATGTACACAAAATGAAAGTAGACAAAACAGGCTGGCTCCAAGCTTGCATTTCTAATAAACCACATGCATTTTTGTTTTGCTATTAAAGGTTACTGTGATAACACTGAAGACTAAGCTGAGAAGGCATTCTGTGCATGTTTCACAGCAACCAGGGAAACGCAATCAAGAAGTTTCTGTCTTTTTCTGGGTTCTAACTAGCTTTCTGTTTATAACGCTTTTTTTGCTACACTTGCTAACTAGCTATACCCTAGTATTCCGAACAATACTGAATACTATGCAACTGCATCTCTATGTTTACAAAGCCTGTTTAAAACTGAACTGGCGCCTTAAAACCTAAGTCAATTGATCTTAGAAGAGCAATGCTCTTTTTGTTGTGATGTAGTATTGCAGAAGAATAAGGCATTTGTCAGGAAACACATAATGACACACACTTGTTGCTTCCCTACATTAAAAAAATACAGTAGATCATGAGCAGCCAACTGCAGTTAAATACCAGGTTAACTAAGTGTGATAGAACAAAGTTGGGCACCCTTGCAGTAGAATGCAAACTGTGAACCACATCAAATTTTTTCTCTACTGAGATCAACAGATATAAAGCTTCAGTCTGACCCATCTTTTCAGAACTCTTAATTGACACCACAGACAAAACTCACTATCCTGCGTTGCTCAGCAGAATCGGTCTGAAGGCTGTCTGGCTGGATCTCAATGTTGACTGCACGCTCTTCTTTGGTTTCTGTGTTGATAGAGATGTTGAAACGGACCTTGTCGCCAACCATCATAGTGGCTTGTGTGATCACATCACCTGACCTAAAGGGTAAGCGTTTCTGTGTGCCTGCCACTGTGGAGTCTAGAAGACCCTGGGGACGTTCCTGTTCCTCCATCTGCTCAAAATCACCAATGCATAACAAGCTTTCAAAATGTAAATGAGAAAAACACACTTGATTAATGACTCCAGTCATGTATATGAAATGCTATTAATGGCCAATCATAGCTGGAGAAGTTTGTAAGCTTATTTGTGTTACAACAATTCAACTTATTTAAGCTTCCCATCTAAGTAATTAAGGTAGAAATAAGCCTTACATATTCTAATCAACTATAATCATTCATGCTAAGAAAACCACCAAGGATACTTCTTCAATCAAACTTGCCACTTTAAGACCCTGGCTCATTTCCTTTAGCTTAATCCTATCTAAGAGCTTACCACCTTAATGACAACTGAGAATAAACAAAACCGGTACAAATCACTTTCTTTACCACTGACTACATACAAGATTTCCATGTGAAACCTATGCTGGCCAGTCTAGAGCATAACTGAGTTAGGCTATGTTCACATTACCAGACCGAAGTGGCACAAATGTGATTTTTTGCCCAAATGTGACACAGATCTGATGATTCCATAGGTTAGTTAGTTTGTTGTTTAGGGCGGTTCATTCACATGACGTTACTGATTAGGATGCGCACAAGCTGGTCATTTCACGACACAGATTTGTTCACATTAATGACAGATTTACATCACTTACCTACATAAACGTGAAGTTAGAAAGATCAGATCGGAGCAAAAGAAACCTGAATTGAGCAACGACTTTGCAATAAAAATCATCAAAATGTTCCTCCTAATTTAGACTAAAACCATAAGGTAGCAAAAAAGACAAATAATAAATACAATAAAGCAAAATATAGAATTACAATACAATTAAATTCACATACATGACATTGCCAAAAGTATGTGGACAGTGTTATAATAAGAGGGTTTTGGGTATTAAAGCCAGACTCAGTCACTCACACTCACAAGTGCAAAGAATTGAGCATACAACCATGCAATCTCCACATACATACAGTGGCAGTAGAATGGATCATATTGAAAAGCTTTGTGGCTTCCAAAATGGCACTGTTAGTTGGCAAAAAGTCAGTCATCAAATTCCTGCCTTGCTAAAGCTGCCCTGGCAAACTGTAAGTGCTGTTATTGTGAAGCAGAAAAGTCTAAGAGCAACAACAGTTCAGCTGTGAAGGGTTAGACCACACAAGCTCACACAATGGAACCACCAAGTGCTGAACCATGCATGTGTTAAAACAAGTCTGTCCTATTGCAACACATACTAAGGAGGTCCAAACTGCCTCTGGATGTAGTAACAGAACAAGAACTGTGTGTTGGGAGCTGGGATCACCATGCCAAATGCAGAGTATCAGCTGAAGCAGTATAAAGTACACTGCCAATGGTTTGGGTTTGGATGATGCCAGGAAAATGCTACCTGCCTGAATGCACAATGACAACTGCAAAGTTTGGTGGAGGAGAAATAATGGTCTACTATCCACATACTTTCGCTATGTAGTGATTTTCTAACAAAGAGCAGTTTTTCTTTTTAAAACTATGTGTTCAAAATACGCCACCTCCTCTCCCTCTTGTTTTGAATTCTTTGTGATGACTTTGAAGATGGTTCCCTCATACTTCTCACTGCTCGTGTCTTCAACTCCTTCTTCAGAAATGACCTCTGAGCTCAGTGGTTTCCACTACAAAGAAAGGTATTAAAGACAAAAGGACAAAAAATGAATTTCAAGACTAAGGTTCAATGGCAGTTTTGCACAGGAAACCCAAGGCAAGAGAAGATGGCCTTATGGTCAGTCTCTCCTTTGTAAACAACCTCAATCATTTTAATTTGAAGATTTGATACCACAGATTGCAAAGATCTGAGTAATATGATTTGTGACAGCATACCTAGAAATTCCAGTTCAGAGGAGGTGGTTCAACGAAGCACCTGGACAGAATGGCTTGCGTGGACGTTTTCTTAAGGTTTGTTTTGCCCAGCTAAGAGCTGTTTTAACTAAATTATTTCAATTCTTGCTGTACACCTGTACTGTCCCTAATACATGGCAAGTATCTGTTATCAGACCAGTACCAAAAAAGCCAGGGTCTAAAGCTCTGAATGACTTTTCCCCAGTAGCTTTAACCTCTGTAACAGCTAAGTACATGGAGAGAGTTATTAGAAAACATCTAACCTCATCCAGACCCATTCCAGTTGTACATGGGGACAGAAGATGCCACTTTAACTGTGGTGAACATGGCAGCCTGGCATTTGCAACAGACTAAGGCCTAAGTACGAATTTTATTTATTGTCTTCAGTTCAACTTTTAATATATGGCTGATACACTTGCTCTTATGATGTCTCTTGGATTTCAGGGTGAATGGGGGCCTTGTGCATTGGGTTAAGGGTTTTTAAAAGATCGTCCACAAAGAGTCTGTGTTAAAGGAGTATTAAAGGAGTACTCTCTGATGAGATTTTAAACATGGCGGCACCTCAGGGATGTGTTTTATCACCATTATTATTTGTGTACATTTAATGAGATGGAGCTGCAGAGTATTTTAGGTTATTTAAATATTCAGGTGACATGGCTTTTATTTACCTGTTTTATAAGAATGATTATTTTTCTGACCAAGTTTTAAAATTAGAACTATGGTGCAAATTCAGCTCCTTGTTAATCAATGTTGAAAAAACAAAGAACTTATTTTAACTCATGCAGACTTTCCACCATTTATACTCTCTAACCAATCTGTGGAAACTGTCAGCCGTTTTAAGTGTTTAGGAATATACATGGATCATCAGTTGAACTTTACATACAATGTTGATTGTATATGTGAGAAAGCTAATCAAGTTATTTGCATTTGATTAGGAAATTGAAGGGTTTTGGAATTAATAACAATATTTTGGAAAAAGTGTATGTTAGCCTGATAGACAGTGTGTGTAATATTTCTGTATGGTATGGACATCTGTCATCAGTGAACAAAAATAGGCAAAAAAGGTGGCAGGGAAAAGAGTAGGATGCCAGGAAAAGTAATTGAATGAGCTCTGTAACAGAGCTGCATTCAGGAAGGCTATGATAATAATTAATGACCGAAAGCATCTTCCGAATCCTGAGTTTGAGCTACTTCCTTCTGCACCTATAGATCTACAAAGGATCTTTTGTTCCTAGTGCAACTGAACATAGCAACAAACTGTATTAACTCACACTAATGTACATCTTAGTAATGAGTGTTTCATGTTCATTGTATGTCTTTAGTAATGTGGTGTATATTGTGTGGGTGTTGTATATTGTGGGTAGGTCAACCTTTTTAATTGGTAAAACCAAAGACGATTTTTTCTGCTTTGATGGGACAATAAAAGTATATATTGTATTCTATTCTACAACCCCATTTCCAAAAAGTTGGGACGCTGTGCAAAATGTAAATGAAAAGAAAATGCAATGATGTGAAAATCATTTAAACCCTACATTTATTTGAAAATAGTACAAAGACAACAAATCAAAAGCTAAAACTGAGAAATTTTACTGTTTTTTGAAAATGCACGCCCATTTTAAATTTGACTCCAGCAACATGTTCCAAAAAAGTTGGGACAGGGGCATGTTTACCACTGTGTTTCACCACCTCCTCTTTTAACAACACTCTGTAAGCATTTGGCAACTGAGAAGACACTGCTGTAGTTCTGAAAGTGAAATGTTTTCCATTCTTACTTGATATAAGATTTCAGCTGCTCAACAGTTTGGGGTCTCTTGTCATATTTCTCGTTTCATAAAGTGCCATATGTTTTCAGTGGGGGAAAACTGCACTGGACTGCAGGCAGGTCAGTTTAGCACCCAGACTCTTTTACTACAGAGCCATGCTGTTGTAATATGTGCAGAATGTGGTTTGACATTGTTTTTTTGAAATAAGCAAGGCCTTCCCTGAAAAGGACGTCGTCTGGATGGCAGCATATGTTGTTAAAACCTGTAAATATCATTCAGCATTAATGGTGCCTTCACTGATGTACACATCACCCACGCCATGTGCACTAATGCACCCACATACCATCACGGACGGTGGCTTTTGGACTGTGTGCTGATAACAAGCCTGATGGTCTTTAGCCCGGAGGACTCACTGTCCATGATTTCCAAAAAGAATTTCAAATTTTGATTTGTCGGACCACAGAACACTTTTACACTTCGCCTCAGCCCATCTCAAAAGAGCTCAGGTCCAGAGAAGGTGGCAGCATTCCTGGATCCTGTTTGTGTATGATTTCTTCTTTGCGTAGTAGATTTTTAACTTGCATTTGTGGATGCAGCGACGAACTGTTTTCACAGACAGTGGTTTTCAGAAGTGTTCCTGAGCCCATGCAGTGATTTCCACTACAGAATCGTGTCTGTTTTTAATAGAGTGCTGCCTGAGGGCCCAAAGATCTTGGCCAGCCAATACTGGTTTTCAGCCTTGTCCCTTGCATACAGAAATTGTCTAAATCTTTTAAGGATATTATGTACTATAGATGATGAAATCCTCAAGCTCTTTGCTATTTTACATTTAGAAACGTTATTCTTGAATTGTTGCACTATTTTCCCCACACAGTCTTTCACAAAGTCCTGAACCCCTCCTCATCTTCACTTCTGAAAGACTCTCTGGGATGCCCTTTTTCTACGCAGAGATGTTACTGACCTGTTGCCAATTAACCTTCAGGTGTTTTTTTTAGCATTACACAACTTTACCAGTCTTTTCTTGGCCCGTCCCAACGTTTTTGGAACATGTTGCTGCCATCAAATTCAAAATGGGCACATAGTTTGATATGTTGTCTTTCTACTATTTTCAAATAAACATAGGGTATAAATCATGTGCACATCATTGCATTGTGTTCTCATTTACATGTTGCACAGTGTCCCGACTTTTTTGAAAATGGGGTTGTATCATAGGCACTTTCACTAAACCCTTTGTTACTCATTTTCTTATTTGTACAAATAAAACTGAAAAGGGACACAGAGTATACTGTCTTGCATCATATCATGACAAATACTGGGTCAGCTGAACACTTCAACATGAGCATGCTGGGGGGCCTTACCTATAAAGGTATTTAGCAATATAAGGTCTCAAACGACAACATGGCAACAAACAGTAAGAAATATGACTAACCTTGTCTTTGGCTGCAGAGGGGTCAGTAATTTTCTCCTTTGCCTTAGCAATTCTGTTTTTTGCTTGTGAGTCAAAGAACACTGAGCCCTCAGGAAGCTTCTTCAGTCTGATGGCTTTAACAGTGTCTTTTACCTAGATGAGACATTGTGTTCAACATTCAAATTCCCAAAAAATCACAACTGAAGAATAAGTAAAATTAAACAAAAAGCAAAGCCCATTTGTAGAAGTACAGAGCTCAACTGACTCACAGTCATAGCCGTGAACTCCACCTCGTCCATAACATTGAGCTCATCATCTGACAGATTCTCTTTGACAGAAGCAGTGAGGTTTTCATGTCTCTTTGCCATGATGGTACAGACATCACCCTTGATGTTCATGACCACACCCTGTAGATTGATGGAAAAAAGACCAAACTATTAGTCAATAGTGAAGCACTTCAGAACTAAACCAAAAACAATATTAAATAATGCTGCTTTGTGATAACAGCCTCAATTAATGGGGAATTCCACTGATTTAATCAAAAAAGACCCAAACAAAGTCATTCAGAATGGTTTGATGTAAAATACTTCATGCTAGAGAAACTTTCAGAGAGTCAGAACTGTTCACGGTGGTGGTGATAAGAACCAGAGGACCAAAGAGTTTAATTCCTCTAAAAGCTACTATGTGTATAGAAATGCAGAAGTACAGAAATATTTGACATAATATGGTTGTGAATAGACTGCTGGATGCCTGATGCATTGTTTTATGACAGTTTTGATATAAGCTTTTGTCCCAAAATCGTTGTACTTTTAAAATCCATTCATGGTGGAGTGGTACATGCAGAGCGTTGTAAAGCTAAATCGTATCCAAAGAAAACCAAATTATCAATATGTTACCACTACAAACAAACCGGTAAATTGGTAGGTTTCTCAACAATTATTTCACATCAAAGTACTCTGAATACCTCTGTGTACAACTCAACGATGGAGCTATTCAGAAACCTTGAAAAGGAATGAATTTTTAAAGACACTGTATTATTTTCTCACATTTAGCAAAGTTTATCTTACCGTTTCCCTGACTTCCTTGGTGAGCTGAAATGTGTCTGGTATTTGTGGCATGATGTTTGTGGCTCTATTTTCTTTAGTAATAATATCTGTGAGCAGCTGAAATTTCACTCGGTCAAACAGTAGTAGAGTGGCTTTTGTGTCTGTCTTTCCAAAAGGCAGTTTAATCGGGTCAGTAGAGATAATGGTTCTGATACGGCCCGGGTGAGGTTCCAATACATAACTCTAAAAGGAGGAGAAAAAAAGTTTATCATTCACCAAAAGTGTATCATTTTGAGAATACTGATGCTATAATGGACGTAGCCTATAATAATAAAAACAATACCATGATATACAAAGTGCAAGTGTAAAGTAAATTACATGGTAGACAGTTGTAGTCACATTATAAAATGTCTTTTCTACTTAGTTAGTCAAGAAAATTTATAAAACTGTTTTCGCTAATGAAATTACACCTTGTAGGTTGCCAGTAATTTCATCAGGCTGAAAAATGAAAGCTGTTACACATTATACTGCATGGGTGACTTGGCTTTGGGAGGAAAAAAATATTTCACATTTGGTATTAAATTATGTATCAAACCCTAAAGGACAAAGTGCAACAGTAATCCTTCTACTCACATCTGGAAGGACCGTGGTGACCACACCTTCATAGATTGTCTCTTCAATCTCGTCTGTCCCTCCCGGGGCAACTTTCACATCAGTGGCACATTCTTTTCCCTACAACCAAAACAGGAAAGTAGCTTAGAAGGTATTAAAAAATAATATTAAATATTGCTTTACTGCAAAATCCCAAAAGATATAAAATCACTCACCAATTCTTTGACTGCTGTGAAATGCACTTTAACCCCAGGGACTAAATGGTCACGGTTTCCAAAATAGGCATCGAAGGAGAAAGAGAATTTTTTCAGGTCCTCGCGTTCAATGAACCCATAAGTGTTCTAAAATACAGAGAGCAAAAAGAAAAGTAATAAGTAAATAAAAGGTACAAAACACAAAATTCTATGATTTTTTTTAACAACACAAAAATCTAAATCATATAACATGGCAAATCAGTACTTTGTCAAGTAGATAATTAGTTTTATTGCCAGTTTAAAGTGGTGAATAAAGCCTGAAGTTATTTATTTCCACCTTTCTTTTAAATCAATAATATGCTTCAAAAACTGTAATGATACTTACACCAATAAATGAAATGACTCCCATGGATCGTCCTGGAGGAGGTCTGAGAAACATTACACAGAGTTAAATTCACAAAGTCAGGATTCAGTAACATACCAAAAAAGTAAGAAACTGAACAACAACATTCAAGCCAAAAAAGAAATTACTTGACAGATCTGGACAAATTCTTGACTGTGGATGTTGTTGTCTTTGAAGCCATAGTCTTAGTATTTTCACTCTTTGTTTGCTTGGATGCCTGCTGACTGGCGTCATTCTGAACGCTGGGAGGTGGACATGGAGGAGGAGGGGGAGCCGTAGCCTTGAAATGGGGAAAAAATAAATAAATTGTTGATTCACACCACAGTATTTAATTATCTGGCCAACATTAAGGTTCCCAACATTACTATACACAGACATTACATGCAGCTATTGTATGTATTAGTTAGAGGGGTTTAATAATGCATTGTAATATTTTAATGCAGAACCGTGGCAGCGTTTTGTGGAGAATAAACTATTTATTAATTATACCAGTGGTTCTCAAACCAATTCTTAGCGTCCCCCAGACAGTTCAGATTTTTGCTTCAACACAAAGATAGAGCAAAATTGTGGACTGTCTAGAGGTCCCTGAGGACTAGTTTGAGAACCACTGAATTATGCGACCTAACGCAATTACATTAAGATTAAGTGACCCTTATTAGTCACACAACAGGGACAAGGGCATCTCAGTCACATACTGTCGGTTCAGGGGATCGAACCAATGACCTTCCGGTCACAAGGCTGGTTCCCTAACCTCCAGTCCATGACTGCCCCACTGTTGTATTGTATAAATACATTATACATTGTATGAACATGATTTGCAGTTACAACCTACAGCATCAATCCACAACTTACTCCAGCCTCCTGGCTCTAGTGCTGGTAGTAATTTATGCATGACAGTCATATTTTTTTTTTTTTTATTTGAATTTAAAATAAAAATACTGAGAATACCAAACTGTGAACTCAGTATCGTATCGTTTCACCCTTCATGTACCAAAAAACAAACAAGCAAACACAGCCCAGTGACAGGCTAACATTACAGTCTACTCCTAATCTTAGTTCAATGCTCAGCTGCTTCGACTAAACCTTTGTGGCCCCCTCTGGCACAAATGGAAACCTAGGCACTCCTAAAATACCTCTAGCTTTAGATTTAAAAAAATAAATAAAAAATTCAACATTTGTTGATAAATTCGTCAGGTTTTTTTGGTAGATCTTTCAAAACTGCTTAATATGTGAGACAAATGGGTCCAATAAACATGTTCCCAACTAATAGTAAACTAACAAATATAAGGATCTTTCATTTAGTTAGTAACAAGCTAATGTAATGTAGGCACAAAAAGGACAGTGAGTTTCAGGGAGTGGCCTGCTAAAAGAAAGGGAGGATGGATGAACTTACAGCTACATCCTGGCCTAACAGTCCAGGTCCTGGTCCAATGAAATCTGGTGAAGGCCCAAAATACTCCCCTGTCACTCCAAAGGCAGGATCACCCTTCGTCAAATTAATGAAATGTGATGTCACTTTGTGCTAAAGAAGTCATTCACTACATATTTCAATTTATTACAAAACAAGGAAACCAATAAACAAGGCTGAACCACATTGAAAAACCTAAACATTATTCAAGTAACATTACAAAAAAAGAATAAAAAAAAAAGTATTTCAAGGAATTAAAATTTAGTAATGTATAAAATATATCACTGATATGTCCAAACTTTACTCGAAAACCATTACGGCCTTCAAGGATGGCAGAGAGAGGAGTGAGACTGTGGAGTCTGTGGCAACAGAGGCCATTTCATTCCTATTTGAATGAATAATGGCAGCAGGTAGGGCCTTTAAGTGCTGGATATACAGGAGTGACTTGCAAATAGCTGGTACTGTGATCATGGTCTGGATTAAGACATTAACCTTAGGGTTAAAATCATATTGCACACTGTTCTTTCTCCGCAACTGCCCAGTTCATGCTTTCAGGTAATGAGACAAAGCAACGATATTAACAGACTGAATGCCAGACTCCACCAGTGCACTGCAGCTCCCTGAAATCCAAGTAACCAGAACATTTAGGTTTACCGTTGTCCTTCACTTCACCATTCCACCTTTTACACTGTCCGGCCCTTGTGTTCTAGACAAATCTGAGCTCCTTCGCTGCACAATTGAGTAGGGGAAGCACTGTCAGTGTCTCTAGCCTCCTTCTTGTTCATGATGGAAATGTGGAGAAGACTCGTATTGTGTTCCTATCAAGACTATCAATATTTAAAACAATGCTAATACCCTTAGGATCCTGGAAAACCCCCACAACGGTCTATAGCAAGTCTCTTCAACCCTGTCTCTCTACAACCCAAACAATATATGACCACAAAAAGATCTCTCATGGCTGTGACTAAGTTCAATAACCTTGGCAGAACTTCCAATTTCCATAGGAAATACAGAGAAATAAACTCTGACACAAAGTTTTCTTTCATTCCAGAGAATACTTTCACAGGCCTATAAAAGAGAACAAAAGAGGTGAAATGAAAGTATACATTTACAGGATTTACACAGCAGAAGTACTTAAAAGGTAGAAAAAAGTTTTCTGACCATATCAGCCACAAACATTACACAGCTCGGAACTGCCTGAAGTGAAAAACCAAATACACGCACTGTTCACTCTTCACCCAGCAACAATCAGTGTCTGACACATTACTGCTGGTCAGGATAAGCCAAGTGTACTTCAGTGATTCTCCATTGCTTCAAAGACTAAAGTGAGGGTGACATTTATGGAGGACACGCTAAAAGTCTCTCTGCTTAAATGTTTTTTCTGAAGAGATCCCGCCATGGAAAGTGACTGGAGACGACTAAGGTGAGCTCTGATCACTGCCAGCAGAAACAAACCCTAAAATTCACTGATTGCTGTCAAACTCCTTATAAGCTCGCTGGGTTGGTGAAACAAACACTTGCAGTGCTCCGGTGGTTGGGGTGCCCCCCCTAAACAACTGCTAACATCTATTTTACTACTTCAGAGAAATAACTGCTCTGTAAAATGCAGAATGAAAAGTTCAGCAGTTAAAAAAAGTCACCTCAGCCAAACAATCACATCAAAAAGGAGAGGCCTCTTGGTGGGTGTGCGGGTTGCCAAAGGTGGAGAGAAACAACCCACACAGAAACAGACTCGAGTTTAGAATTTTTTGTTAGGAAACTAATATTTTTAAAAAATGTATGACAATTCAAGTAATACTTATACCTCACATACAATGTATGCATTGATGCATCCCCCAAAGAAAAAGCCTCTATTTATTAACTTAATTGAGAACAGATTTGTGTAATTTGATAAATTAGTAAACTGTATTACACAAAAATGCAGATAATCTGTCTGAAGACCTAGGAAATTCTTTACTGTCCAGGTAATAAAAATTTTTGTGACTGTCATAATGGAATAATAATTATTTCAGTAGGCTAACTACACTCTGAATTACTACTTGTTCATGACTGTGTATACACACACACACACACACACACACACACACACAAACAAACAAACAAACTAGAGTTCAGTCAGTCATACAACAGCTACTGAGCGCACACTACAGAAGAGCAGCACAAGCTTCTATCCTAAAATCTGCACACATGGGTTTTTACATTGAAGCCACTGGATACTTACACGGACTCCCACTGGTGGTGGATAATGTGGGTCCACTGCACTGTAACCATCCGCTGGCCCATATGGAGGATCCATTACTGGATACCCAGCTCCTCTCTCAAACCGAGGGGGGTGGAAGTCTGGTGGTCCACCCCTAAACTCTGGAGGGTCAAAACCAGGTCGCCCACCTTCATATGGTGGTGGGTAAAAGTCATGTTCAGGCCCACGTTCATACGCTGGTGGTCTGCCTTCAAAATCTGGATGAGGGTAAGGTCGACCACCTTCAAACTCTGACGGGTGATATCCTCTCGGTCTTCCCTCAAAGTCTGGATGGAGGTAGCGTGGATCACCTTCAAACTCTGGCGGGGGGAAATCTCTGTGCATGAACGGGTCTCTCATCATGAATTCGTCATGAATATAAGGATCTCCCTCCATCAGTGGGGGACAGGGTGGTCCAAAGTCGTGTGGGCCCACAGGAAACCGCTCTAGAGGCATCCTCGGTCCGGGGGGACCCATTGGATGGGGCGGGTGACCACGAAACTCACCTGGATGTGAAGGCCTTCCCCAGAGCCCGTCGGGGGGTGGGGGCCCACCTGGAGGAGGCATCCTAAATCTAGGTCCATTTCCCTGTGGAGGGGCATTCCCTCGTTTTCGACCTTTAGCCATTCGCTTACTTTTTCTGGACCACCAGTCGTGCGAGGCAGAACCGAAGTAACGCAACCAAACAGTAAAGCTGGCTCGCTAAAGTTGGCTAGGTTAGCTAACGTTAGCTGCAACAAAGCCGCTTCTTTACCTGGCTGTCTACAACAAACGGCATCTTGAGACATCAGAAATGCTTTCTACCCCAGCGGGCCACATCTCTGTCTTTTAAATGTAGGTTTTCTTGGAGGCAGCTTGCAGGAAAATGACCACAAATGGACACAGTAGCAGTCCACACTACCGAGCTAGCTAACAACACTGCTCGCGTTGCTGGGAACGGAAGGGGAACCACCATAGATACACATGACCTACCTTGATGCCGCGTCGCCTGTTGTTCTCAATTGGAGGCTGTACGTCTGCGCGTCCGCCATGTTGGAGCGGTCAAGATCCGCTTGTGAACAAATTCACTCGTATTGAGAGATGAAGAGTCTCAGCATTAAATCAGACACAACTTCCTTAATACTCCGATTTTACCAGATTTGTTTTGTTATAATCCTCAGACACAGATTAATCTAGGTCGCACGGACTGCTCTCGGTAGCTTTTATTTCTTTAATAACTCATCGTGCTAATTAGCCGTCCTGGCCAGCAGAAATCCAGTCAATGTGTGAATCACTTCTAATCTTAATACACTTAAAAATAAAATTAACCCCCCAAAACACAGTAAGAAGGACGAAGCTAAAGTTGGCTTCCTATCAGCCAGCTTCTTCTTCGAGTTTCCCCGTTCCACCATAAATGGTGCAGCAGTCACTTTGTGGTGCCTGAGTCTGCGCCATTTAAAGGTGGAACGGGAAAATTCGAACAAGAAGCTGGCTGATGCCCCATTTAAGGTGGAAATCGGAACAAAAAGCTGGCAAAGCTGACTTGGGCTTCGTGTAAGGCGCTAAAGTTAATGTATTATGAATACTACGCGGTTTTAAGGAATGCTATAATTTACCTACCTACAGAGCAATGACCATTATTTAAATAAATAACTACTACATAAAGTTAAGATCCCCTTAATAGACTAATAAGTGAAATAAGCTTAATATAAAACCAGAGGAAAAACAATCCCATCAACAGGTTCTCTGTGCCTCACCAACCACACGGCCATATCTACACATAAACATCACACAAACATGAGCGCGGATCGCTGCGTTCCCTCCGTTATATAATCCTATCCCACTTTCTGAGTGGAATATTTTTGAAATAGTATAATTTTAGACAGTATCTTTTTTTAAACTGCGCCTGCATGGACTGATGCATCCAGCAGCGATGTTGACCGCCCTAAAATGGCGCGCCGTTGACGGCCTGCTGGACCCACGCGCTTTATCATGGATTTATCCCGGACTATATACATGATGTCAGTATTATATTATATAATATATATATATATATATATATTATATATATATATTTATATTTATTTATTTATTTTTTTTTCCACAGTTTAGAAATGCCATTTTTAATGCAAAAGAATACAATCATTTCCTGAACACATAACAGCATAAAACATTTAACACTGCTGTTATATATTTTTGAACGCGATATGTATTTCTGTGTATATCTATGGGAACCACTAACGTCACCGTACTTTTTCAAAGTAAGAGCACGAAACTAAAACTCTATACTAAACCCATAATTTACAGTTGACAGCTGTAAAAGAACAGTCCATTTCTTTTGATTTATTTTACATTTCTGCATAATTCAGAGGTTCAAGTGTAAGCAGTCTTTCAGAGACTCATATTTCTTTATAGTGGTGTTGATAGGAACCAGGGTGGCCATGTCTACAACACAAATACAGCCACTTTATTTACCATCCAAAACCACTAGTCAACCTACACTTGTCCTCTGAGTTTAATATGAAATACTGATGATTGTAAAATAGCCACAAAAATCATTTGGGGACCATTTTGTTTCAAAAATCTCCCCATCGTGAATGGATTAAAGTAAATGATTTAAAATACATCTTAAGCCAACACTTTATCACAAAATGATCATAAAACAATAAGTCAGACATCAAGCAGCATATATCTAACCATTTCGTGTAATAACTTTGTGTGGGTGGTTTCATTTTTTTATGTAGAGATATTCACACATCTCTTCAGCTCCTCTCTATGGCTTTTTATTATTCTTTATTCTATTTATTGTACTTTTAATTTTCCCATAGTTAAATGGTTGTTAAAAGTCTGTGTGCTTGTCTGGTCTGTTTAGTATATTACATGTCATCCATGTGTGACTCACCAACACAAATTCCTTGCATGTGTAATCAAGTGATTCTAATTTTAGAGATGGGCATTTGGTTCCTATCACCACCACTCGGGCAAGCTTCTCTAGAATTGACCATTTCACACCAAATCAATCAGAATGACTGTTTACATCTCAACCATTATGTAGAAATTTTGGAAAAAATGGTGGAGACATCCTTTAACTCCATTGAATAAACTTTGTGCTGGGTGAAATAATAACTAATAATATGATTTTAATGAAGTTATAATCAAACCAATCATTTTAAGACAAGAAATTACTTGCTATTTTGTTCAACCTAATAAAATCAATGCCACGTTGAATTACTTGAGTAAAGAATAATCAAGACCATTAAATTGAAGAAAAGCATTTTATTTAGTTAGCATTTTATGAAGTTGCAAAACTTCATGTTTAAGAGAGATAACATTATATAAGCAGAACAATATACTACTATATAAGGACATCTCAGCCTACAGCAGATTCAAAGTGGGACACTGCAAGATATTCGATATCTCTCCATTTTTATACAAGTGAACATAAACATGTCCAAAAACGACTCAATTTTTTTTTTTCTTTTGAGGAAAAACAAAAAAAAATTAACAGCAAAACAACGTTTTGCTCAGCAAATAATGTGATTATGTGCAATCCTTTCAAATATTTATTGCCTTAACATGTTCATGGAGCAGTGCGTGACTTTATTCTGACCCGGTTTGGCAGAACATTTTAACCATTTTAATCTGAACCACGTTCAGAACCATTTTGTTTTCCGTGTAGCCCTTGAACACAGATGCTCATGAATGAAACTTTCTTCAAATATTCGTCTCTGCAAATATTTTCCATATCAAATCAATTGTTCATATGGTGACCCAATTTGGAAATACAGCATGTGAAGGCATCCAAATAAATTTACAAAATAAATCAAGGCAAATCTTTTATATTGAAAGATGAGTAGATGCTGTTTAAGTTCAAAAAAACGAAGGGGGAAAAAAAAGAATAGGCTTTTAGATGCTGGATTACACATCCCTTCTTTATCGTTGCAAGTGAATAAAAAAGCAGCACAGGTTATTAACAAAAGAGGACTACATTCCAAAAAATATAAAGTATTGTCTATGCTTCAGTATATCCTCAAAAAAATCCTTCCTTGGACTTGGTCACCTCATCTGCTATGAAAGTGTGAGGAAAAAGAAAATGAGTAGCATAAACTTAAGTGAAGTAACATTTTCTGTATAATAAAGAGCAAAAGAAAAAAAAAGTGTAACAACCAAATTGTCGGATATAGGGGCTAACAGTACTAGCTAAGAGGCCAGGCAGAAAAACAGATTAAACTGGAGAGGGAAAAACAAAGATTAATGTCTTTTTTTAAACTTAAGTGTTTTTTTCATCTTCAAACATTTGATGTTGGTAGAGCTTTCTTGCTTTATTCTAAGCCAGTGTTTCCATTGTATGGTTTGATGTTTTCCCTGCTCTTACACATCCAATTCCATTCCATTCATTAGGTATGTAAGGGCAGGGAAAACTCGGAGGGGCCTGGTTCACTAAACACTGGTTTAGACATTTTCTTCATTATCTTTTCTGACAATCACTGGTCATCAACCTTTATTTAGTCAAAAGGACTGAAGTCCCTCTCTAGGTTCTCAGACTCGTCATCGTCTGAGAAAAAGTCGTCCTCATCAATGTCTTCCTCGTCATAGTCCTCGTGCCACTCCGGGACGTACTCGTCATCATACTCGTCATCCTCCTCTGCTTCATCACCCACATCTTCACCGGTATAGTTGTTGTTGTCGGACTCTCCGGTCTCAGAGCCTCTATCTGACTTGGACCTGAAAATAAGTACAGCTTTACTCTTCAAGATGAATCATGTCAACTGAATAATATTCTATAAATAAACATCTGATCTGACGTTCAGATTCTGCACAGAATACTGAAGTTAAAAAAAAAGGCCTCTTCCTTCATCAAGAGGCTTAAATACAATGCAACACTGCCAATTTGTGAGAGCTGGCATCAGTCTTGTTAATATGCAGATTAACTCACTCTTTGTTCGTGTCTGTGTTGTTAGCAAGGTTTGAGGCTTGTGCTGCCTCCTGATCTGGCCCAGTCTTGGACTGATATCCTACACGGAAGTCCTACCAATAAAAAATAAATAAATAAATAAATAAACAAAATAATAAATCAAATTAAAATGTACCCTCTGCAGCTAAACCTTTATGCAATAACTATACCTGAAAAAAGGGATCCACAAACAAAGGATACAAGAGGTACATAAAAGACCGTAAAGGGTGGCAAACTGCAGTCCATCAACTTGGACCTCTCTGGTCATTATCAGTGATATAAGGCTGCGTTCAGGTCCATTATCAGTTTCGTTAGCTAAAGCTAATGGAGATATATAATCTAGAATTTGGGTAGGAACATACCTGGGTAGAGTGTTGTAAGATAGCCACCAAGCGCTCCTGGATGCGGCGAATAAGCTCTAAGCCAGTGTTGAGGTGTTCTGGCTTCAGCAGGCGGACACAGGATGCCAAGTCTGTGCACTGCAACAGGGTCTCCTCTACATAACCCAAACATGCATGTCAGTTTAATGACAAAACATTCACAGCCAGTGTGCACAGCTGTAACACACACAGCAATTACACTGCTTGCAGAAAGCAATTTTTATAAACTTAATTATCAAATGATTTTTTTAATCTCTCTTTTATTTAACACTAACCAAGCAAGATCTGCAGGGCATTAGTGTGAAGGTCCAGAGCTTCAGTCTGTTGTTCCATAATATCCATCTTCTCTGTGTCCTGGTTGTAGTAGCTGTACACACACGAGTAGGCTAACACCTGGATGACAAAAGAAATATAAATCAGTAACAAACTGTTAAAGCTTACCTTAAAGAAATAAAGTGCTCTAGTTTGCACACTTGGCTAAGATAGTTCTGTCAGGTCGAGACTCGACTGTGTGTCCCAAAGATGACAGAGTCGTCTCTGTAGACAGAACTAGGCTTATACATTCAGAGTTCACACTCTCTTCAAAGCAGTCCTCTGTTCAGCTGCCCTGCAATGTTTGCATGAATGGCAGCTC